AGACTCTCAGATAATCAAAGAATTTACCAATGCTCTTATTGGTCTTGCTGCAAAAAAGCGTTACTTGCAGGAACCAGCTGTACATGTTCTTCTAGACTTTGTTGAGAAGGTATATTAGATTCATTCTTATGTGCAAAGTTATTATTCCGCATTGTGAACGATTTTGTGATCCCATTTTTTATTTATTGTGCAGTTGCCTACTGAACCTGTTGTGACTCATGTCATGGAAGCACCAGAGCTTCATAAATGGTTTGAACAAGCCACTGAGGTGGGAAATCCAGATGCTTTACTCTTAGCGCTTAAACTCCATGAAAAGATTTCAGTCGATCATCCTATATTCAGCAAGCTACTGCCAGTTCCTTTCAGTCCCGGGAAGTTTTTTTCTGCCGATCATCTCTCTGCCATTGGTAATTGCATGAAGGTACAGCACATGTCAATCTTTTTGCTATGTAGAATGGTTTAACATGTTAAGATCTTGTCTTCAGATTGTTATGAGTTTGTAACATCCTAACATCAAAACAGTTTTTTTTCCCACCATTAAAGGAGATTTTTGTGAACTTTACAGGAATCTACTTTCTGCCAGCCTCGTGTTCATAGCTTATGGTCTGTTATATGCAATATGCTGTTACCAGAAGCAGTTGTTCAAAGCGAAGATGTCACATCTATTCCAAGTTCCTCGAAAAAGCAAAAACGTAACCGCAAGTCCAATCCCGTTGAAGAAGAAGCTGCAAATAACATCAGGAATTTCTGCGAATTTTTTATGGAAGGAGCTCTACTTTCTTCATCTCATGATCGCAAGCATTTGGCATTTGATATCCTCCTTCTTCTTCTTCCAAAGCTTCCGGCAAGTTTCATCCAACATGTATTGTCGTTCAAGTTTGTTCAGTGCCTCATGGATATACTCTCCACAAAGGACTCTTGGTTGCATAAAGTTGCAACCCATTTTCTCGCGCAGTTGATGGATTGGGTGAAAGACGACGATACCAAGAGGGTAGCTGTTACGATGGCTCTCCAGAAACACAGTGAAGGAAAATTTGATAATTTTACGCATACCAAAACTGTTAAAGATCTAGCTGCAGAGTTTGAAACTGAAGATGGATGTACACTTTTTCTCCAGAACTTGATGAATTTGTTTGTGGATGAACAGCATGTTCCTGAGGAACCTTCAAATATGAAATGGTCCCTAGAACCTTGCTCTTTGAATTCAGATCAGAGTCAAACAACGGATGATAATTCTGAGATAGGTTCAAACGAGGAGAAGGATTCAGTTGGAACAACTGGTAACTCGGATGTGCTGAAAAGCTGGGTCATTGAATCTCTCCCTGGCATCTTAAAACATGCCAATTTGGCCCCTGAGGCGAAACTACGAGTTCAAAAGCAGATCTTGAAATTTCTTGCTGTACAAGGTCTATTTCTGGCTTCTCTGGGCACCGAAGTTACATCATTTGAATTGCAGGAGAAATTTAAGTGGCCAAAGACAGCTACTCCTGCTGCTCTTTGCAAAATGTGCATCGAACAGCTTCAGCTATTGTTGTCAAATTCTCAGAAGATCGAGAATCCTCTATCTAAAGGAAATGGCCTGGAGCAGCCCGATGATCCTGTTTCATACTTTATGAAATTCCTCAGCACGTTGCAGAATATTCCCTCAGTTTCCCTCTTTCGTTCATTGAATGAAGCAGATGAAAAGGCATTCAAAAAATTACAAGAGACAGTAACTAAACTTTCAAAGGAGGTTTGTTTTTTACTCGTTCTGCTTTATTAAGTTTAAATCGTTACAAAATAACCTTGATGTGCTTCTGTGTTTAAGTTGTAAAATCTTATTATGTGGCAGGAAAAAAATTGTGGATTATCTGCTGATGCAAATAAATTTCATGCGTTGAGGCACTTAGTTGTTCAACTGTTGCTTCAAATACTCCTCCATCCAGGAGAATTCTCAGAAGCTGCAAGTGAACTTTCAGTATGCTGTGACAAAGCTTTCAGTTCTCTTGATCTTCCAAAAGGTGATGGAGAAGGTGAGGCAGATGATGAAGAAGAACCAGCAGTCATGGATGTCCTCTTGGACACATTACTTTCTCTCTTGCCACATTCTTCAGCTCCAATGCGATCTTCTATTGAGCAGGTAATTGCCTAGCCACAAGTAAATAAGTTCTTTTCGTTTAGTCAACTTTAAGTTACTGATCCTTGGGTGCTAAAATGAGATTATATTTAATCATTTGGTCCAATTGTTTCCAATTGGCTCAAGCTCAAGTTTTAATAGAAATTCACAAGTTTATGTATCTTGTAGGTTTTCAAGTACTTTTGTCAAGATGTCACCAACGATGGACTGTTGAGAATGCTGCGGGTGATCAAGAAAGATCTTAAACCGGCTAGACATCAGGAGGACCAAGACTCTGAGGATCTTGATGGTGATGATGATGAAGATTGTCTTGCTATTGAAGAGGAAGAAGAAGAAAACGAGGAAATGGGTGAGACTGGTGAGAGCGACGTGCAAACTGATGATTCCGAAACAGTAACCAGCGTTGTCCCTATGGCAGTTGACAGAGAAGTTCCTGCAAATTCCGATGATTCTGATGATGATGATGGAATGGATGATGATGCAATGTTCCGCATGGACACTTATCTTGCCCAGATATTCAAGGAGAAGAGGAATCAAGTTGGCGGCGAAACTGCTCAATCCCAGCTTGTTTTGTTTAAACTTCGTGTCCTCTCCCTAATTGAAATCTACCTCCATGAAAATCCAGGTAAGTACATCCTTAAAAAAAATGATTTGGCATGATGAAATGCCTATAATATTCTCTACTAAGTTCTGTACTTTGGTTTTGGTGATGTTTTAACAGATAATCCACAAGTTATGACAGTGTACCTAAACTTAGCTCAGGCACTTGTGAACCCAAGCACTGCAGAAAGTAGTCTGCAGCTTTTACAACGTATATGGGGTATCATCCAAAAGAAGATCTTCAAGGCAAAAGAGTTTCCCAAGGATGAATCGATGGAATTTTCTGCACTTGCTACTTTGTTGGAGAAGAATCTTAAACTGGCTGCGAAACCATTCAAGAGTAAGAAGTCAGGAGTTGATCCTTCCAAGAAGAAGCAGTCAGCTGCGTGGAACCGACACAAGATGATCACTAACCTTGGCCAGAACTCAACCTACTGGGTTATGAAGATAATTGACTCGAGAAAATTCTCAGAAACTGAATTGGAGAAGATCTTGGATGTGTTTCGGAGTGTCATTGTCGGGTACTTTGATACTAGGAAGTCTCAATTGAAGATAGAGTTTCTTGAGGAAGTGTTTAGAAGGAGACCATGGATTGGACACCAACTGTTTGGTTTCCTTCTGGAGAAGAGTGGGAATGCAAAGTTTGAGTTCCGCAGAGTAGAAGCTCTTGAATTGATCTCTGAAACCTTGAGATCGTTGGTTCCTATAAACGAAAACACCCAAGAAGGTTCGAAAAAAACAATGAAGACCCATCTGAAGAAACTGAGTCATTTGATCAAAGAACTAGTTGCAAAAATTCCAGAGAACAAAGCAAGGCGAGCTCAGGTGCGTAAATTCTGTGGCAGGATCTTTCAAATGGTCTCATCATTGAAACTCACCAACTCTCTCCTCAAGGGTTTGGGACCAGATGGTCAAACAGCTTGTGAATCGGCACTTGGTGATCTTTTCTTAAATCTGAAGAATACCGAGCATTAGCGCAAGCTAATCTAAGTAACACCATAACTGGTGAAAACCCTCTCCTTTTTTCTTCTAGTTTTTATTTTTCTCATCTTTCTATGAAGAAAACTTGAAGGATCAGAATCACAAGTTTGAATTGGACTTTCCCAGTTCAGTGATTCCAAGTTTTGAGTTTACATCTGTCACCAAGAAATTTCACAATCCGTCACCTTTGTCCTAAAAGATGATTTGTGATGATAATCCATCAATTTTGTTTTCAAGTTCTTGTGTTGGTTATGTTTACAGACTCAGAATATGTTAATGCTATATGGATTTCATATGTTTTACTTTCATCAGACGTATTGCTTTTGTTAGACATTCTTTGTTATAAATACTGGTATTGGATATCTATGAAATTTTTGTAAGAAGGGAACAACAAGCTACAGAAGCATAGGTTTATTTCTTGAACACACATCTGTTTTTATGGTGCTTATAGTGTTCCCTGTTTTTTTTATACGAGTTGGGAAGATGTGAAACCGGATGTAGTAATTGGTCTATGATTGTTCTTTGCCATGATATAGTAATATGCGGTTCTAGGATAAAGCCAAATTCATGCGTTGACAGAGTAATGGGTGGGGATTAAACGAACAAAAAAATGATATAGTGAAGACTTTACACTTTCCAGTGACATAGACTAGTGTATAAGAGACACCTGTTTTAGATATATCATATACTTTAATTAGGGGTTTTCTGTATCGATTCAAATAAATGATGATGATGGTGATACATACACATCCTGAGCGTCGTTTATTGATTCGGGAAAGGATGCAACAAATAAGTTCATGACATGGCGATAAGTGCGTGACTAACGAAAGCTATATGACTTTTCTTTGTAAGGATTCTCAGAAAAAAATGTACAAAACTCGCAGCCTAATAATATCCTTTCTCATACCACCTGTGTCCCTGAGTCTGATAGTTTAGTTTCTTGGACCATCTTTATTTAAAATCACACCTATATATATATATATATATATATATATATATATATATATATATATATTTGTTGAAAATTCAACTTTAAATTTAGCTAAGATGGCCATCAGACCTTCTAGTATGTACTATATAAACCATTGAACAAAATTTCTCTTTTTAAAAAATTAATCCAGTCACATATGAAAGTGTATATTAATTATAAAGAAGCCAATTATTGAGTTTGAAATGTGTTCCTATACTTCCCACTTTCATTGATCTTTTCGTTGTGTAATAACCCAAAATATATACAACTAAACCACTCGAATATAAAAGTTAATAGTATTTTTCTTTAGAAGGTGTAAAAGGCCAAAGGGAAAAAGGTGAAAAAGGCTTAAAAGGTTCTCAGATAAACGCAAGCTACAACGCACAAGAGACATGATTTTAGCAAAACACACTTTAAAGCAAAGAAAAAAAGTTGATGGAAGTTGCAGAATTCAAAGAACATCATAAGATTATAAACAAGCAGATAAAGAACCAAAAAAAAAAAAAACATTATTTATCAGACATCCAAATACCAAAGTGATGATCTCAATTACACTATATATATATATATATATATATATTATGATAATTATGATGAAATTTGTAACTGATTAACAATAATCTGATTCCGACCATGATACCTTCATATTCAAACTCCAGAATCTGAACTCTGAGATGATACTTTGGGTGCCATGTTCATTGCAACGAGCTTCCCGTCTGGTCCGGTTCTCAGCTCTCCCATTCCATTCACAGGTAAGCCAATTCCATGGTACTGTGGCGGTGGTGGTGCCTCCGTGTAGTAAACTTGTTTCCCCATTCCTCCGGTGTAAGTCACCTGAGTATAAGCTGACGTATCTGGTAATCCGACGACTTGTCGTGGCGGTGGAACGGCTGTGTATTGCGCTGGAGGAGGACCAGAAGTAAAAGGCGGAGCTTGTTGTGGTGCCTGTGTTCCTATTGGTAGCTGAGGCGGCTGAGCCACGTTGTATGGTGGTTGGTGTTGTTCCCTGTATGTATCTGAAGCCATTCTCTGTACCGGAGGATAATACCCGCCTTGGTTTACTTGTCCTGTAGCTACTGGTCTCATCATGCCTTGCGATTGCTGTGGCGGTGGCGCGTGGTAAAACGGAGATGGAGATGGTGTTGGAATCATGTACACTGGTTGCTCTGGTAATCCTAATCCCGGTGTGGTTGTTGGAAACACGCCTCCTGGATTGTGGTTTCCTTGCCAGAAGGTCGTCATCGGAGGGGTAGCTTGCGGATTCGTTTGAGGAATCGTCGGCGGTGGCGCTGGATTTTGAACATACGGCGGAGAGAAGTATCCTCCGGTGGTTTCCACAAAACCGTCTTCGTTACTCTTCCTCCTGTATAAAGCTTCCTGTTGTTGTTGTTGTTCTTGATCCCTTATATGCATCCTCTGAAATTCCTGCATTTGCCTTTGAATCTCCATCGGATTTACGCCGTGATCCGGTTGAATCACACGCGGATCATTGAATGACGGAGGTTCATGCACCACCGGAACCGGTAATTTCACCTCAGCCGGTGTTGGCGGCGGAGCTACGACTTTGTCCGATCCAAACAAAAAATCAGCATTAGTGGGAGGAGCAGTTACGGATTTGTCCGATTCAGATAGGCTAGGAACAGTGTTCAAGGCCTCGACGAAGCGATCTCGATCGGAGTGAGTGGAACCCTGAGAACCAAATCCACCGGAAGCAGAAGAGGCAGGGAAGAGAAACAAACGCATCCTGGCAGGCTTAGAGGACAAACGAAGCAAGCGATCGTACTCGTGCATCATATGCTCCAGATCATCATCGTTAGTAACGGAGATCAAAGCGTCTAAGTCTTCCCCTGGAAGCTGATACTTGAACGTAACGTCGCCATCACCGCCTCCGCAAACGGCGGAGAGCTTGGAAGCTAAAACAGGGAATCTAATAGAGCGATCAACGGTGAGGATCTTAGTTTCTCCGTTAACGTAAGTGAGTTGGTTATCGTGAGGCCGAGGCTGAATCTTACCGCCATAGCTGCACATAAACTTCACCTTGTAGCTCTGTTGCTGCTGGTTCTGATCATCCCAAGGCGGTGGGTTATCGAATTCGATCTCGCGGGATCTCGGTGACGAGTCGGTTGAATCAGGATAAGAGTTGTACGTGAATTTCTCCATCTCTCTCTCTCTCAGGAAAAAATGAATTGTTTTTTTTTCTTTTTCGGGTTGGGATATTTAATTATTCATTCATGGAAACAGAGAAATCTGAAAGAAAAAAAAAAGTAGACTGTGATGAAACGGATTTTTGATTAGTAGCAGTAGCAGCATGATATCTCATTGTTGGAAAATGTTAACTTGACAGGAGAGGTGTGCGTGAACTTATTGGTTATTTACACGTGGCCTGTCAGATTTGATGAGTTTAAAGGCGGTGAGGAGAGTTATATATGACGGCCAGTGACGTTAGCTGGATCTCTCTCCACGGATTAATATGACTTTTTTTTTTTTTTTTTTGTTTGTTGAGACGCTGCAATGTGATGATGGGCCCAAACTAATGAGTTTTGATACTAGTACGTTGAAGAAAGAGGCCAGCCAGCTTATCAGATTATTCTTCCTAAAATATATTTAGCTTTAAGCTGCATATCTAATCAACAACACTAGTGATTAGTGAAGCAAATATTCTAAGGTTAAGTGATAAATAAATAAATCGTTACTTAAGAAAGTCGTTGTCATCGATCTTTCGCCTGATCAACCTTAGATTTGTTTTTATCATTGTGTTCCTTTTTTTTTTTTGGTTAAGGTTATTGAATTTTTTACTTTGTAATATTTTGTTGGAGTGGATTTTTATCGAATGTAATTTATTTTCGGTTTTTTTTTATATGATCTATAGAAGATATTGAAGAAACAAAAAAAAAATGGCATTGGGTTATCTTCAAGATAATTGTTGTTCTTGATCTACAAGTAAGTAATTGGGGCCGGGGGTCAGATGTTTGGTATGTTTTTCTGTATGTATGTCAATTTCAATAATGGATAATTTGACATCAACTCTATAAAAAGATGATGATTTAACTTTCTCACCGTGTAATCAATATCACTTTCTCAATTGTTTCCTATATATATATATTTTTGTTGGCCAGATTATTTGCTAGTATTATATAACCCATACATAGTTTATGGGCAACTTGCATCTTATTAAATATGGGTTTAAAATTGTCGTAATTATTCTAACTTATAATAGACGTATTTCGCCAGCATGCCTAATTATAAGGTGGCAATCATGGTGCTACAAGGGGAAATATAAAAAGAAGAATTAACATTAACTAATTTCTTCTATAAACTGTATACGGTATATACTATTATTCACGATATAAAATTACAACAACAACAAAAAAAAAAAAAAAAAACTTGCTTGACAGCCTTAATTAGTATTTGTATTTCTTCAAAAATTCTGCACACTGTTCGTGTGATATTTCATTGTTTTGATAATATTTCTTATTATTCTCTAACCATTGTATCGTTTAACTTTATTCGTATCGTATGACAATGGGTTATATGGTGGACTAATCATCCATATTTCCTTTACTAATACTTATATGGTGGACTAATCATCCATATTTCCTTTACTTATATGGTGGACTAATCGGCCCGTTACGATGTTGCTCGATGAGTCCATTGATCAATTGAATTCGTGTCTCGTGTTCGTTTGTTGAGTAAGTCAACCAACCCAAAATTCTCGCAAAGATGATGCATTCATTATACATTTTACATTTCTTTAGATAAATCGACCGTACTTATGATTACAAAAGAAAGAATAGCCTCTTCTATTATTATTTGGGATACTTTTCTTGCCAAAATAACTTATTAATTTTGATCTCTGTACTTTTGAAAAATGAATGTATGGATTAGCGGGTCTGAAACATAAACCAAGGGGACAAAGTTATATAAGTACACAAATAAGAGGGGCGATGTTGTTAAGTTGAGAACCAAGGTTGGAAGATTTCAGCAATTGAGACAAGTTCAATGTACGTACACTCAGACAGGGACACTTGAAATTTTACACACACAATATACAAATCGAGAGAGGCTTAAATGTAAAAAACATTCAAGTTCCCAACAACTTCAGCGCTCATCTATCTATCCGCACGGCTTTCTTCATTTAGAAATCCTCCGCCGAATCGGATCGAACAAACGTGTTTCTCTCCTATTCCTCTTTCTTCAGGTTCGCAAATCCCGATCCTCTCCATAATAACCATTTGTTCGTTTCTCTCCTGATTCTCGTTTCTCCTTCAATCCGATTTACTGCGAGTATCTCAGGTCTTAAAGCAAAGCAGGTTTTGTTTCCTTTTGCTTGTCGCAAATTTCCATCAGTTTCGCCTCCGTCACTTATTTTGGTTCTGCTTCTGTCCATAACATGTTCTTATGATATTTGGAGATAATTCAGAACAACGACTTATACACTTGTGTGATTTAACTTGTGTGTGTTTTTTTTTTCAATTTTGGTTGACTTATAGAACTATGATATCAAGGATTATCAAACTTATAAATGTATTTTTTTAATTTCCTTGAAGATGGGTAAGTATGAGGTGATGAAACGGGCAAGCGAGGTTGATGTTTCTACTGTCAAATATAAAGCTCAAGAGATCAAAGGTTTGCTTCTACTAGTATTACTATGCATTTTTAATTCTGTGAGTTTAGCTCAGGATATGGTGGTGCCTGCATTTGTTTGATTATGGATTTTAGTTTCGCTCTCACCAATGAATGCTTCTTCTGTATATTGCAGCCCCTCATTTGACTGGCTTTTCGTTCAAGTTGTTCGTTAATATGCTTGAAGCACCTCTTATTGGCCCATTGTTTGTTGATCATTTGAAGAAAGACAATGGCATGACAAAGGTCTCTTCTGATCAGACTGTCACTTTATCATCATTTTGCCATTTGCTATTGGTGTCAATCTTCTTACATTTTGTATTGATTACATATTTTTACGTGCTTTTCCCTGTTGCCACTGCCAGATTTTTCGCAACACAGTTATACCAGAAGAGCCCATGTTTAGACCGGAGTTCCCATCTCAAGGTCTATTCTTCTACTTGCATGATATATTGTCTGAGCTTACGTCAATTAGCAGTCATTATATAGAGCTGAAGGAGATATTTGTGTCTATAAATTTAATTTTAGAACCGGAGCATGATGTTGTCATTGTTGGCGAAGATGGAAGTCCTATAGAGAGATTGGAAACAGCATTAAAGTGTCTTCCTCAATATGATCCTTCTCGTAGCTTGAATGCTGATCCAGTGTCATCCTTCCGGTACTGGAAGATTCGTGATTATGCATATGCTTATAGATCTAAGCTGACAACTCCTTTGCAGGTTAGTTCATTTAATTTTCTTTTCTTTTTGCTACTCTTTTTCTTATGTAGTACAAACATAGAAGGTCATTGCTGATTGCTAGGTAGCAAAAAGAATAATCTCAATCATAGAGGAGTTTAGCTATGACAAGCCTCCAACACCATTTTTGATTAGCTTTGATGCCAATGAAGTCATTAAGCAGGCTGAAGCTTCTACACAGAGGTTTGAAGAAGGTAAATTATGCAGACTCCGAGATTCACTTTGTAGTCCCAGATTCCATCACCACGGAAGCTATTTTGTATCTTCTTATATTTCCAGCTTCAGTGAGGTTTTAGACGTGATTGTAGAGAATCTGTATTGATCATGTTGGGTGTGAGTTGTGTAGGAAATCCAATATCTGTTTTGGATGGAATTTTTGTGACAATCAAGGACGATATTGATTGTTTACCCCATCCAACAAATGGTTAGTATGTCATTCTTATATGTAATTGAAACTACTTCCAGATACAGCAGACCTGTCATAGGGTTTTTCATTAAAGGTGGAACAACATGGCTGCATGAGGATCGTTCTGTGGAGAAGGATTCAGCAGTTGTTTCAAAACTGCGCTCTTGTGGTGCAATCTTACTTGGCAAGGCAAATATGCATGAGTTAGGCATGGGAACCACGGGGAACAATTCAAATTACGGGTAAGCTACACACAAATTATTGCAGATAGACATAACACTGTTTTGTCTTTTGATACACTTTCAATATGTTTGTCGCACATATCCTTCTAATGTGGATGCTCTTCTGTGTTCTGCATTGCAGAACCACAAGAAACCCACATGATCCTAAAAGGTACACTGGGGGATCTTCCTCAGGTTCAGCAGCTATTGTAGCCTCTGGACTATGTTCAGCTGCTCTTGGAACAGATGGTGGAGGTATCAAACTTATTTTTATTTGTTTGATTTGACCTATGATCTTCATACCTACTAATTTAAGTGTTTCTGGAATGCAGGTTCTGTTCGGGTACCTGCAGCACTTTGTGGTATAACGGGACTGAAGACAACATATGGTCGGACAGATATGACTGGGTAAGAGAAACCATTACGCCTTTGCCCTTCCTTGAGTGTTGCAAGTTTATATTTTTGCTTTCATCTTCTTGCTATCTAAATTTCTAAACCATCTAGGTAAATATAACTCTTGCGTCCACCATTCAAATATGTCCCATTTGACTGAATTCCACAGCCTTTCAAAAAGAGATGAATTCTTCACCTGTTCTCTAAAATTTTAGATATAAGTTATTATTTGTACCCACAAGATAACTCTTACATTTTGATGTTTTAAAATATGAGAAGTCACACGTAGTATGGCTAGCCTTATATGCTGCCGTGAATGAACTATTGGCACATTGACTGGAAAAAAGATCTAGCATGTATGGCATATAAATTCCGGTTTGACCAGTGTCATCTCTACAGGTCATTATGTGAAGGTGGAACAGTGGAAATCATTGGTCCCCTTGCTTCATCTTTGGAAGATGCCTTCATAGTGTAAGTTTAATTTTGTTGAGACGGGTAGTAGACTAGTGAATGCCCAGATATTTTTGCTGTTATTGTTTAATTCTTTCAAAATTTGACATCTTTGTAAAGCATCCAACAATATAACGAGTAGAGGTGCAACCAACGATACAAAAGCTGTTCAAATCAAAACCACACATTATCTACTTCATATGTTTGGTCTTCGAATAAACCTGGAATATTAACTAATGCGACTTTGTGTGTGTTTACAGGTATGCTGCAATCTTGGGTTCTTCATCTGCGGATAGAATCAATTTGAGACCGGTAACTTTTCCAGCTATAATATACAGTAGACGGCACTCTATCAAACCTTAATGAGAAAAATTGAAATATAATCGTTTGTAGAAATGTCTCAGTTTGTAAACATCTTCTGTTCCCAAGAAAGTATGATATCTCTTTTACTTGCTGATTCACAAGGATTTCAGAAACATAATTACAAATATAAAACTAAAGTTGTAAGCACTTCTAGATGCAATTATAATGGTGTGATATGTATTTAATTGATAATGGCATAGAATCTTGCAATATGTTCCTGTATGATTTGGTATTTGCAATTATACTGTAGACCCCTCCCTGTTTCCCAAAGTTATTGTCTTACAACGGAAGTAACGCAATCGGATCTCTACGACTAGGGAAATATACAGCGGTGAATATTCTATCTTTGCTATTTGATCTGAGATGGATCTAATTACTTCAGTGGCATATTTAATACTTTGTTTTTATCCATGCAGTGGTTTAATGATGTTAATTCAAGTGACATCTCTGATAAATGTGAAGATATTCTTAAGCTCCTATCAAACAATCATGGTTGCAAAGTAAGCTCTCAATTTATGGAGTTTCAGTCAATACATTGTTTTACCTATGATCTCTATATGGAATTTTATTTCAGGTGGTGGAGATAGTGGTTCCTGAGCTAGAAGAGATGCGTGCAGCCCATGTTATATCGATTGGGTCTGCAACACTGGCTTCTCTTACTCCTTACTGTGAGGCTGGGTATGTCTTTAGGCTTTTTCCTGCAGTAAATCATTATATCCCCTTTGGATTTCTATCATTTACAAAATAAATTCGATCTTTGGTGTAAAAATTCTTACATTTTTCCTATTTTTCAGGAAAAATTCAAAACTAACTTATGACACTCGTACCAGCTTTGCGATTTTCCGTTCGTTTTCTGCTTCAGACTATATTGCTGCTCAATGTCTTAGGTAAAACGGCAATATAAATAACAATTTTCACTTTTGCTTCTAAAATCACAGGAGTAAGTTTTTGCTTCGAGTGCCACAAAATGAGTTTCTCTTGGTAATTGTCTCATATGATTCTTCCACAAATCGCTTGGTCTCTAGCTAAAACAGTCGGATTCCTGGAAGTGTAGGATTATGAGTAGATGATTGACTCTAGTGGTTGCTAGTTTCAGCGAGCACATACGTCATATCCTGACTTTTCGTATACCAATATTGATAGAATTTTTGTTGCAGGCGAAGATTGATGGAGTTTCACATGAATATCTTCAAAGACGTTGATGTCATTGTGACTCCTGCAACTGGGTTCGTAAAATAATTTGATGGATAGATAAATCATATCTTATCAAACCATCTAGTGGATCGAAGATCCCTATATTACTTCTAATGTCTGTGTCTTCACAGACAGTACCTGCTTAAACTTCTCTCACTTTTACGTGTGAACTGTTGTCTTGTACAAACAGTATGACAGCTCCAGTGATACGCCCTGATGCTCTAAAAAATGGAGAAACCAATATTCAAGTGACAAGTTTGTCAAGCAAAACTCTTTACTTCTTATTTGTGGTGTAATCTCATACATAGACATTTTCGTCAGATTGTTTAACTTATGAGATTCAAATTGCTTCTTTTCTAGCTAATATAATGCGCTTCGCTTTAGCTGCAAATCTCCTGGGATTCCCAGCCATATCTGTCCCGGTAAGCAGTTTTTGTATTAGTCTCTAACCAAAGCTTAGACTATCGTGTTACTTATTTCATTCTTACAATTTTGATATATTCTTTCTGAATGACCACTCTCTTTTTAAACATATTGGTTGGCAAACAAAAATCAATGAAGGTTGGTTATGATAAGGAAGGACTTCCGATAGGATTACAAATAATGGGAAGACCTTGGGCTGAAGCTACCGTACTTGGTTTAGCTGCTGCAGTTGAGGTACTCTTTCCCTCTCTCTCTCTCTCTATATATATATATATATATATATATATCTTTGAACATCTTAGAACTCAGATTAGGCCGTATGGAAATGATGTGTTTTTAAAAGATCGAGTAGAAAGTAGCGTGTGGTAAGAGGCAGTAAATAGTAGTGGTTCTAACAGGGTCTCGGATTCCAATATTTGAAATTTCTTAGTATTAAGAGCTTTCACTTATGGTCGAATCAATCTTGGTATTTCAGGAACTGGCACCACTTACCAAGAAACCTGCTGTCTTTCACGATATACTCAATACAAACTGAATTTATAAGGATCTTCCAGAGAACTAAAAAGGCAAGGTTTTTCTCTGGCTGGTGGAATTTTATCGATGTTTGCATTATACAAGTTAACATGTCAATTGATCTGACGAATCAACGATTATTGTGCTATAAACCATGTTGGAATTTCCTACATTAACTATGATAATTAAATTTGTGAATTGGGTGTGTTCAAGTTTATATCTGCGTTTGTACTACCATTGACGTGTGCAACTCTATTTATCTAGAATTTGCTATTGTTGTTTGAATTGCAATGATAAAAGTTTATATACAAAAGAACATGTATGTGGAAAATTTGGATTCATAACCATACCAAATGATAGCGTTTTCATACATTTCCATCCATTATTATTACCAAAAACACAACATTATGACCCAACTCCCAATTAAGTGAACTAGGAAAGTATCTTTAACTCAATAAGTCAATAGTAAGACTAATAAGAGAGTTGCATACAACAAAGAAGGGGTTTGTGTATAGATAAATAGAAAGTTGAAGACAATGAAGTGTCCATAAAGAATCACTCAACTTTGATGTTGTTATCATCTACAACAGCATCACTTGGAAGGTCAATCCCCTTTGGAATCTTTCCTGGATAATCAGTCACCGAAGTATCCGATCCCAACATGCTGCAAATACATGAAAAAAATTAGACTATACTTGGCTACATCTCCAAATCTCAAGGCAAGAAAAAAGAATGGAAAAACTCCAAACCTTCTATCGACAATGACCATTGAACGTAGCTCACAATTAGCAAAGCTGCAAATTAGAAACCCCGAGAGATTAAAATTCCTCAATTGGACTTATAATTAATTTCCTCACGAAGGGTGTGGAGCTTACTGGCTGCAAATTTCCGTCTTAACATCTGGATGACACTCGTTTTGTAGTGCATTCAATGTGTGAAACAAGAAACCGCTGTGTGTCACAATAGCTATCTCTTTTTCTTTCCTTGTCCATAGCCTACAAATCCAAAACCAGCCATCATACACAGTTCTGTTCCATCAGCATTTTCGATAACTCAACAAGACTAATGGAATTTACTTAATAAATTCTACATGGAACAATAGTACATTAAACGAATCTTCTTTCGGCAGACATTGATCCTATTTGATGTCAACTTCTACTTATCAAACAAACAATTTCAAAGAAGCGATGAGGATGTTTCTCTAAGTTCCGCGTTCTGCACAATCTAATAAAAGGAAATAATTTCCTAGAGTTTACGTAGAAAAGAGAAAATACCAGTTCAGGAACATTTTTCCTCTAGCTGCAAGTTCTTCAATTGTTTCTCTAACATCAGCCTTCCATAACTTGTCTTCCTCGCTTTCTATCTGAACGCAAATTCAAATGTGAGGAGTCATTTGAAGGACACATGTAAGTTGTTTGGCATAGCTGTACGCTGCTAGTAGTCAATTGGGCAACCAGAAGATTACAAGTAATAATCAATGCCAGGCACATCTAAGACTCTCAATTATACTTGCCAGTGAAAAGTCAACTGCAGGGAAAAGAAACTGATAGTCGCTGATACTTCTCCTCTGATCACACGGATGCACTCCCTGTGTCCACAGAAATGGAATACAAAAGTGAAAACTTGACGCAGCTAAGAATAATTATTTATATTCTTTCTCTTCTCGTGAAGACAAGATCTAAGATTTTGAATAGAAAAGCAAAACTTGTGAGTAGGAGTGCAAATTACTGCAACACTTGTGGTTGTTTCATGGTCACTTTAAGTGATGAGAAGAAGTGAAAATATTTACTGCAAAACTTGGTTTTAACATTAAGTTTTGTGATGATTGTGAAGATAGGTAAACGCAATTATGTCCAATTTAAGTTTACTCTCTAGGCTGTATGTTTTTTTTTTTTTTTTTTGGTCATCGTCTAGGCTGTATGTATTACAATAAAAAGGCATACCAGATGTTCTCTGCAGGACTCCTCTGTAATAATTGGTGGGCAGTTCAAACTCGATATAGCTGCACGACTGCTATTTCCTGCATTTGCTACCATTAGAGGTAGAACGTCACTCATATCTGTGTAGCCCTCTCCACCAAAAACACCAACAGCAGTTTGCAATGTTCTACATATAAAACAGAACATCGTTAACAATTTTAACATCTTCAAAAAATTAAATAAAGTTTTCTGCTCAAGTATAAAATGGGTATTTTTCTAAAGAATGACTCAAATAAAATTGAAGCACACTATCTCACACAATATGTTAGTCTAAGAATTTGAATAAAACACTGGCAAGCAATAACTCTGTTAGTGTTCCTGACCAAGTACACAAATTAGACAAAGACCTTTGTAATGACAAACATACCTCATCAGTGGAGACGATATGACCAGTTCGATCTTCTTGTGAAGTCCACTGGAATGAACATGCTTACGCAAACTATCTACCTGTCACCAAGAGAAACCATATATTCAGTAACTGAAGTTAGAAAGATGAATCTATTTGACATTTTGGATAAAGAGGTGCAAGTGAAGCTCTTATTCTCTATACCTGTTTCCACCCAAGTTGGGTCAACTCTGCATCAAAGTACTCATGAGACATGTAGGCCTTATAGTTCTTTTCCCCATCAACATTGTGAATCCCCTGAGCATGTCTCACCTGAAAAAAGAAAGTAAGTAGTCAATGGCATCCCCTAAATTCTGACCCAAAACCTCAATCAAAAACAAAAACATTACATCATAACGAAACTTCCAAATGAGAAATTTGTGATCAAAAAGACAAAACACTACTCACCAAATAAATGGTTTTGCAGCGGTGCAAAGGGTAGAGACCTATACCGGCACCAGTCTCCATTTCTGCAAACTGAATCAATACAAGCGTTATAAAAACAACAACTAGGATGTGGAAAAGCTTCTGCAGCTACTAGAAAACTTACAAGCCAATGCGCACAATGTTGTAACAACTAAAGTTTCGTTTTTTATTTCAGACAATCCAAATCAGAGAGTTAAGAGTGTACAATCGGGACAGCAAGATCAAATTAAGAGAATTGAAAGATAACCACCATTCGAATTCAGAAGAATCACTCAAATCCAAAAGCCAATGGATTCATTATAAACACACAAATGAAAAAAGTGCAGAAAACTATCAGCTGAAACTAAATCGTACAAGATCTCACTGTTAAAACTAAGAAATGAACCAAATCTAACGCCAAAAAATCACACAGCATACGCAAGACAATGCAAGCGATTACGATTACTAAAATTACCCAGAAAAACAAAAACAGTAGACATTGAAGCGACTTTTCACAGAACTAATCATTTCTCATATATGAATATATATAAAAATAACAGATGCATATGGAAATACACATTTGTTGACTTACAGAAGGAGTGAGATTCGAAAGAAGTAAACCAAAGGAGGGTGGCTGCTTGAGGAAAGAAGATGTGGATGATGCAAACAAGTATGAGAAGAAGAAAGACGGAGACTGGATTAGTTGGATAATTACTTCTTTTAATAAATATATATATATATTTATCTAATCTCTTCCATTATCGTTGGACCAATGAAAACAATATAAAATAATAAAATGGTGAGAGGAGCCGTCGTCAATAATTATACTAACCACGCATACGAACCATCTGGGTCCGCTTCTTATGGTACAAAATACGAACCAAGCCAAAACACAACTCTTAAAGAAACCAACATTGTGAACCATCCAACCAATATTATTATCCATATCTTTATCCCTTTTAATTTCAATTCCCACCTTCACAATTTCTCTTCTTTTTTCAGCTTTAACTAATTAAATTTAGTAAATTAAACAAAACCACTGTTGAATATAAGCTTCTAAATTAAAACCAATTTAAACCACAGACCATAGTAAAAATCGTGCCCAAAACCGAAGTAGAATTTCAAATCAAACCGGGAACACCAAACCGGTTTACCCGCGAGAGATTGCAGAGTGTCCTTCTCTTTAGATTTCGTGTGGGATCAATGGAGTTCGGATCCAGACGAATCTACACGACGATGCCGTCGAAGCTCCGATCTTCACTTCTTCCACGTCTTCTACTCCTTTCTCTCCTCTTACTCCTATTTTATTCCTTAATTCTTCTCCGCCGTCCGATCGCTTCGTCAACCCTCGTCTCTCCGCCGCTGTGCGATCTCTTCTCCGGCCGATGGGTCTTCAATCCAGAAAATCCAAAACCGTTATACGACGAGACTTGTCCTTTCCACAGAAATGCTTGGAATTGCTTACGGAACAAGCGAGAAAATATGGACGTGATCAATTCATGGAGATGGGTGCCCAATGCCTGCGGATTGAATCGAATTGACCCGACTCGATTTCTACAGCTGATGAGGAATAAGAATGTTGGATTTGTCGGGGATTCTCTGAATGAGAACTTCTTGGTTTCGTTCTTGTGTATACTTAGAGTGGCTGATCCGAGTGCTGTCAAGTGGAAGAAGAAAAAAGCTTGGCGTGGAGCTTACTTCCCTAAGTTCAATGTCACTGTTGCTTATCACAGAGCTGTTCTCCTCGCTAAATATCAGTAAGATTTCCTACTTCCAGAGTTTGAAATCTTGTATTATTAGCTCTTCAAGGATCAAACTTTTGATTAGTGACGGGACATATTGAATTCAATCTTAGGATTTTGGGTTTAGATTACCGAATTATAGGCTTGATATGTGGTTTTTTGCACAATGACTTAGAATCTTATGAGGAACTTCAACTCATTTCTCCACTTTACTGGCCATTACTGAATTGTGAATCTCGCAGATCTCAAATATGCAAAGGTTTATGTTAGAGTTGAAACTGAAAGCATAATGAATGTGTTCTTTTATATGTTGAATTTAGTTCTTCTAAACTGATATGATAAAAGGTGGCAGCCGAAGTCATCTGCTGAAGCTAATCAAGATGGAGTGAAAGGAACATATCGAGTTGATGTTGACGTTCCTGCAAACGAGTGGATCAATGTCACTAGTTTCTACGATGTTCTCATTTTTAACTCTGGCCATTGGTAAATTATTATCCATTACCTGTTGGTTTTCTTCCTTTTCTTTTTATGTAAGAATGCTTGCAGCTTTGTGGATTTAGATTAGTTGGATCTGTTTTTTGGGTTTAGGTGGGGTTACGATAAGTTTCCTAAAGAGACGCCTCTAGTCTTCCATCGAAAGGGAAAGCCGATAAATCCTCCTCTCGATATATTGCAAGGATTTGAACTAGTTCTTCAACATATGGTTTCTTATATCCAAAGAGAAGTACCAGCAAAGACCCTTAGATTCTGGCGCTTGCAATCACCAAGGCATTTCTCTGGTGGTGATTGGAACCAGAATGGAAGTTGTTTACTCGAGAAACCACTCGAAGAAAGCCAGGTACACCAACAAGCTTTACTTCAGTGAATATTTTTGCATTCCCATAAAAAATGATGTTGATGCTAAGACCTAGACAGCTTGACTTGTGGTTTGATCCCAGGAACAATGGAGTGAACAAAGAAGCAAGAAGGATTAATCAAATCATCAAGAATGAGTTGCAAACCACAAAGATCAAGTTACTTGATCTGACCCATCTAAGTGAATTCAGAGCAGATGCTCATCCAGCTATTTGGTTAGGGAAGCAGGACGCGGTGGCAATATGGGGACAAGACTGTATGCATTGGTGCCTACCGGGTGTTCCCGACACATGGGTCGATATCTTATCAGAAGTGATTCTCACTAACTTAAAAACAGAGTGAAGACCCTGTTAGAGTCTGAGAACAGAGACTTGCTTGGGCATTTGGAAAGCTCAAATGTTGGACCTTTTGGTTTTAACTGTAAATGATTCATATTTCGATGAAATTTTGTAGGATTTCTTTGTTCTTTTTTCCAAGACACACCTGGACAAAACACGAACATTTAACTTGTACTGTGATACATCTATGTTAAAGAGTTCTGAATCTTTATATGAAGTAAATGATTTCGTAAATGGGGCTTGTTTGTGATCTTAAACTCCATATAGAAGCTCAAAATTTGGAGTTTAAACTTGTAAATGATTCACATTTTTTGGTGAAATCTTGTGGAAGAGCTCTTTTTTCAGAGTTATATGTAGTCGATATTAAAAGAGTAAAAAGAAAAAAAGAATCCAATAGAGAGATTACGATTAGCACCGGATAAATAACATATTAAAGGATTTTGGGACAAAGGGCAGAAGAGAGAGGAGGGAGCGCAGAAAGCGAAAGAAGATGTCGCTGAGATTACTTCATCTTCTTCCTCAAAAAACTTGCTCATCTCGGAATCTCGGATATCACCATCTGTTGTTGACCCGGCCCGTAACCCGAATACAGTGCGTAAGGAGAGACGGTGAAGAAGATGAGATAATCGGCAACATGAGGATTAGGAGGCCCAAGAGGAGGAAGAAGATTCTGAGCGATTCAGAGCTGGCGAACGACTTGGCCAGAGAAATCGGGAAAGCGAACACAGCCTCGGAACAGAGACGAGAAGCGATGAAGAAGAGCGGCGAGATTCTGTGGGGAGAGTTGTGTAGGCATATGGATTTGAAGGAAGATGAGATGAGGATCAAATGGAGGAATATTGGGGACGAAGAGAAGTTGAGCCTGGTTCGTGAGTTTGTGGATGAATGGGCTGGAGACTTTCAGCCTCTATCTGTTAGATCTGTGAAAGAAATGGTTGAACAAGAGTGTTTGGATTCTTCTTCTGTGGAATCTTCTTCTTCTTCTTCTTCAATGTCTTCGTTTTCTGGGTTGTTTCCTGGATTGAAGAGAATCATTGGGTTTGAGTAGAAGAAAGAATCTCCAATGTTCCTTTTTATAATAAACATAATGTTTCGTTTGCATTGTCTGATCAAATCCACTGCCACTTTATCTGCAAGTTTGATATCTGTTGCTTCCAAAAACACTTGAAAGACATTTGTTTCTCGAGCTGAGAATCTTACAACAAACACGTTTTCAGATTTTATGAAACCAAATTATTGAAGAAGAATATACAAAACAAACACAGGGAAATTACTGATGGTGATGAATGATTTCACTAGTATAACATAAAAACATGAAACAATTAATTAGTCTCCTCTTGAGTTTTTCTTCTTTAGGTGTAGGTCAGTCCGTCCTCAGGATCTAGATCTGATAGGCTTTCACAAAGCCATACTGAGCTTTCAGTAAAAGGCATCCGTTTTGTTTTTGGTAGAGGCTCTGCTAATAAAATTTACAAGGGGGTTTCTCAATAAGCCTATCAGCTTTTACAAAGGTATATGGACATCGTGGATTGGATGACTTGGAAGGTTAAGTGTGCCAAGACCTCAGAGAGTACTATCAAGGATCTATTTGTTAAAGATAAAAAATTACATAACGGGTTTGCTAATTTAAACCCAATTTCGAAATAAAAGAAAGAAACTCGTATGTCTTGCAGAAGCAAGAGTTCGAAAACTTAGAAAATATATAAAAACATGGACGTTAAAATCGTTGGAAACAATCATATAATTGTTGAATCGATGATCGCCGCAATGTTCCTCCCGTGATGAGACCAACGCAAGAGATCAAGAAAAGGAAACAACTTCAACTTCTTAACGAGGCCCAAAAACAAATCAAGCCTGCCTTCGCTCTGCGTGACTCTCAACGCCTTTTGCACAACATAGTTCCCAAACTCATGCCGAGCCAGCCTAAACAACGTGAATCCACCACACTCCATTAGCTCACCCACGACCAAATCCAAAGCTACCATCGATCTAGACTTGAGAATCTGCTCCACGATGTAGCTACCACGCCTCTGAGACGAAAGCTCAACGTAGTAACCACAGAGCCGAAGCGCTACACGGTTCGTACATCTCAAGTCATTCAAGCTAAGCACGTGCTGTACCACAAAGGTCCCTGAATCGTCCATGCTTAGCCAATCAGAGTTTTCCGCTATTTCGTAAAGGAACTCTTGTCTGAAGACATCTTTTGATTTGGTTATCATTTGGTTAAGTGCGATGCACCCGATTTTGTCACTCGCTAAGTAAAGCGCGTCACGGAGCGTGAGACTAACCAATACGAAGCTCTCCAAGACCTTGGAAGCTGTTATCGCAACGAGATAACTGTATTTCCCTGTCATGACATCGATGAACCTATGCACGATAGCGTTCAATAATATTTCGTCCGTCTCTTGAAATTTTCCTAAGAGCCTCCTAACGCGTCTTGATCCTTTTCTATCATTGACAATCTGGAAAAAGTAATCGGATTCTGACGTTAACATTGACACAAACCAACAAAGCTCGCTTTTGTTGTTCCTCGAGACCATATCGTTAAACTCCTTGGGACCTTCTCCTTCAGCGGATGTAAGTAACGTATGTAAACGCATGCGAAGCTGTAGGGGATGGTTTTGTCGTCTAGATATCGTACAAGAATTTTGAATAGGTCGGTATGTTGCAAAGTAGAGTGAATTGATTTCTTGAGGTTGCTCTGTATTGGTTGTTTCTCTTATTCGAACCGTTGTGGAGAAGTCGTGAGTGTTCGTTGTGTTGGCTGAAGCATAAGAGGGAGCCCTAGAAAACAATGGTTGCTGCTGACTTGTAACTTGGGCATCGTCGTTTTCTAATTCTGTATCCATTGTTCTTCTTGTGTTTGGTTTTGGGAGAATACCATACAATGATTATTGAGTGATGATCATTAATATAGTTAGAGATACGTTGTAGAGGTTTATATTTGGACTGACATGAGATTCCTTGTAGGAAAAGGGAATTAATTATATGTCGAAATTATCCGTATTGTGTTTATGATAATTTAAACGGGAGTAAATAACACCAAGTTAGCCGTTAATTTTTTATTTAGGAAAAGGTGATAAGGACTATGAAAAAAAAAATGGAAATAAAACAAAACTTAAGGAAACCGACTTGTATTTGTTTTTTTTTGTTTTTGTTTCATTGTTGAATTTTCAAACAATAATTACAAGAATACCCCTCGTCATGGAATATCCAACATTCGGGATTCTCAGAAAACCACCGAGCTTCTCCCATGGACGTTGGCGGAGAAGGTGATCGTGGTAAAAACCCTAGAATCATGGAGAGGGATTCTGATTCTCTCAAAGATCAGATCGCAGAACCTTCATGGTTTACCCCCAAAAAGTAAGTTTTTATTTTTTGCTCTTGTTTCTCCATTGTATGATGTTTCTCAGGTCAAAAATTTCCTAAGCTTAAGGCAAAAATTGGGGCTTTTATAGTTCATTGGTATGAATGAAGTAGGACTGTAGGAGGAAACGTTTCTGTTGTTGCTTGAAATCGTCTAATTGGTTGGTTCTATTTAAGGAAGTTCTGTTACATTTGATGAAACTAAGTCGATGATCTTTTTTTGTTTTCATTTGCGTATAGTCAAATTTAGTCTTCTGCAATGAACATATTGATGGAGAGCGAATTCGATAAATTCACCTTCGAACAAGAAATTTTCTATTAAGTTGGGAATGAAGATGCAATTCTTCTTCTTGTTGTTGTTGTATAACTCTTTTTATTGTATTGTTAATCTTTTGAAGAAATGTTGAGTTACTCTTATTCGTATTGTGGCTATCTCTGCAGGCTTCTCTTTGTGTTTTGTGTAGTCAACTTAATAAATTATATAGATCGAGGAGCTATAGCAAGTAATGGTATCAATGGCAGTCTTGGTACTTGCACTTCAACTGGTACATGTTCTTCTGGCACCGGAATTCAGTAAGTTTCCATTTCTTTGCTATTCGTTTCCGTTCAAAGGTATGGTGTGTGACTTCAATCATTCTTTAATTTAAGCTAAAAGTGGTGGTACTCAAGCTGATCATCTATCATATTATGTGAAAACATGATAATCTTATTGGTATTGGGTTTTCTTTGCTTTAGTCATAATCCCATGGTTGTACTACACAGGGGGGATTTCAACTTAAGCAATTTTGAAGATGGAATTCTGTCATCTGCTTTCATGGTTGGGCTTCTTGTAGCCTCTCCTATATTTGCTTCACTAGCAAAGAGGTGTGAACTGGATTTCCCAAACATCTAAGTGCAAAGACATCAATTTTTTTTAATTTTTTTTTAATCCATACTTCATTATCTTTAAGGTTATTTATCCCACTTTCTGTTGCGTGTTCCAGTGTTAATCCGTTTCGGCTTATTGGAGTTGGACTGTCGATCTGGACTCTCGCTGTGCTTGGCTGCGGTCTTTCATTTGATTTTTGGTCCATCACAATCTGTCGCATGTAGGTGTAATTTCTAATAGTTTTTCAACTATTTCTTTCATATTTATATTTTTTAAATCATCTGCATCTCCATCTTACGTTTCTCACCTTATTCAGGTTTGTTGGTGTTGGTGAGGCATCATTTGTAAGTCTCGCTGCCCCATTTATTGACGATAATGCCCCACATGATCAGGTATTTGCTTCTAGAATATATTTCTTCTCGCAAACCATGGTTATAGAAACGGATGGTAATGAATTTGTCTATAGGAAGGAAGCTGATTATTCACTAGGCACTTTTGTTTTTGTTTGAACCAGAAATCAGCGTGGCTTGCTTTATTCTACATGTGCATTCCGGCAGGCTATGCGTTTGGCTATGTATATGGTGGATTGGTGAGTTATCTTTGTTATTTATGTCATGATTTTCTGATTATAGGTTCGGGTTTCTGCCACCTTGAGTGACCTCTTTCTGTTTTCTTTTAGGTGGGGAGTGTCCTTCCTTGGCGTGCGGCATTTTGGGGAGAAGCACTACTTATGCTTCCTTTTGCTGTTCTAGGTTTTGTTATCAAGCCCTTGGATTTGAAAGGTGCGTGTTTCAAGTCACACATCCTATGTCCCTGTGGAGTTGAGCTATTTCTGATTTATTTTGTATCTTCAGGTTTCGCTCCAGATGATACAGGAAAAACCCGGACAGATAACTTAAACGCTTTGCCAGTCAGCTATGGGTTGTCATCTGTCATGAAAGATTTGAAATTGCTTTTGGTTGATAAGGTTTATGTTACAAACATTCTTGGTAACCATTTTTCCTTCTTGTGTGTTAAAAGTATATGTGTTATTGTATGATTTATTGATTACCTATAACTATTTCTTTCTTTTCTCAGGATATATTGCTTACAACTTTGTTTTAGGCGCATATTCATATTGGGGGCCAAAGGCTGGTTATAACATATACAAGATGGTAAAATATTACCAGAGGGTTTTTGTTTCTATGTCTGAGAAGTATATCACTTGATGCCTTTATCCCATTGGCAGGAAAACGCTGATTTGATATTTGGAGGGGTCACAGTTATATGCGGAATCGTTGGCACATTATCAGGAGGAGTGATTCTAGATCACATGGATGCTACAATTTCAAATGCTTTCAAGGTAAGATCCTTAACTTGGAAGACATATTGTCCTCACATCGATAGAAATTCCTCATTCCGAACATAAATTCCACCACTTATGATCTTGGAAAACTAGTATTTGATCGCCTGTATCTGTATTTTGCAGCTTCTTTCAGTTTCAACGTTTATAGGAGCATTATTTTGCTTTTCTGCTTTCTGTTTCAAGAGCTTGTATGCATTTTTAGCTTTTTTTGCTGTTGGTGAACTTCTCATCTTTGCCACACAGGTAATCTCGGTTTCCACCATTCATATACATACTTGATTCTGTTATGTTTTACAAATCCATTTCTTCTGATTTATTTCATGATGTATAGGGTCCTGTGAATTTCGTCGTTCTCCATTGTGTCAAACCAAGTTTGAGACCACTTGCAATGGCAATGTCTACTGTCTCTATCCATATCTTTGGAGATGTTCCTTCCTCACCACTCGTCGGAGTTCTTCAGGTTTGGTTTCTCAGTTGTATCCACAAAATCTTGATTCACAAATCCATTGTCTTGATCAAATTAAGCTTCATATGAATGAATGCAATGTCTCATCTAGATTAGTTTGAGGTATCATTGTATCCGACTTCTGTATGCTTTGTCATTTGCTCATGCAGGAATTGGAGAGTGACTGCTCTTGTTCTTACATTCGTTCTCTTTCCAGCTGCTGCAATTTGGTCTATAGGTTCGGTTTTTAGCCACACCAAGAACTCAAAATTCAAATGTTTTTTTTTTTTTTAGTTTAAAGTGGGAGTAATGATTAACGATTTGTTGCGTTTGTGACTCTACAGGGATTTTCCTGAATAGTGTGGATCGATATAACGAAGATTCCGAGCCTGATGCTGTGACCAGAGAATCAACCGTTGCACCTCTTCTTGAGGTAGCGTGAGACTAAAAAACACCTCAAATGTAATTGTAAGAGTTCTATGGTCTATTCTCATCTCGTTTGTCAAACTTGTACAAAAGAAATGTGTATGAAACATAAATGACCTTCATTTGTATACCTTGTTCCTCTCTTGGAAGAATATGAAAGATCATCAGGGTTTCTCTACATAAACCTAATTGTTTAGTTAAGTTTCCAGATTCAGATTGATATGTCTCTATAACAACTCAATTCAGGAACATAAATATGATATTTTGAAGTTATTTCTCATTCTTTCGCTAAGCGAAAAAGCTTCTCAATTGTTCATAATTCATCAAAATAAGAAGAAAAAAATTGTCACTCAAGGATAAGAATATTGCTCAGACTGATCAGAAAAGTGAAAGTTCTCCAGGAGAAACTGATCTCTTGACAAGTTTAGCCCATGATTCATTCGTCTCATGGATGATCTTCAAAGCATAATCCTATATATAATAAACACACGCAAAAACCAGAATAAGCTCCTTAACATCTATAAACTTCAAAGGAAAAGAGTCTACAAGGATATTACTTTGTTTGCTGGTTTGTTTCCAAGACCAAACTTGTTAGCAGGCTTTCCATCTGGGATCTTGTAGTCTCTAAACCAATCTCTAATAGCTGTAAGAGTACCCTGAGAGAAACATCTAGAGTCAGAAAACAAAAGTCCATTAAGAAATGAATCATGGTTCATTGAGATCATACCGGGAAATGCTTCTCGACATCATCAACATCATTCACAAGATGAGCTTTAGGATCATCTAAAGAAATCGCAACAATCTTCCAATCGAGCTCTCCTTCATCAATCATAGCCAAGGCAGCTAAAGGCTTCACCTTCAGAACCTCACCGGTCTTCCTTCGGGTTTCACCAATCTCAACAACATCAACTACAAAAAATAAATACGAACTAGAATAAGCTAAGCTCTGAGAATGAAACCCATCTAGAAACCCAAATCTTTTAACCTACCAGGATCATTATCTCCAAAAGCACCTTCAACCTCAGAGTTTGCCTGAGTTGGATCTTCCCATGTTTGTGGAAGCAATCCATAGTTCCAGTTTATATTGTAACTGTGTATATATATAACCAAAAACAAGAAAATCTTTTTTAGCTACTCAATCTAAAGAGATCATCACAAGATGATGCAAATGCAAAATCTGGTTTAGCTCTCTTGTCTTACGGATAATATCTGAGCTTCCCTTTCTTAGTGTCTTGCTTAATAGGAGTGAAAGCTTCATCAGTAGCTACCTCCATTTTAGCTCTGGACTCTTTAGGAATTTCCACTATAAAATGAAAAACTCCATCACCTAAATGCAATGGTATATCATGCCATGGAGATACCTAACCAACATTTTCACAGTATCACAAATGTCAAAGAAGAAAACTTTCAATACCAACAAAAAAAAACACACACAAATTGCGAATTTGCGATCAACAGAGAATTGGACTCAGAACAAATACAAACATAAAAACCAGAGAGATGATTACCTTCTTTCCGGAGCCATCTTGAAAGAAAACTCTGTAATCTAGGGATTCAGATTGGCCTTCCTGAATGGTCTGAACCTGAGGATTGTAAATGGCATTACAAGAAAAGGGTCTCTTAGATTTCACCACTAAGGATCTCTTGTTGAAGCAGAGACCGTTAAAGCGGCAGACTGTTCGTGCCGGAAGAAAAACAGGTCGCTTTGTGAGCAACCCCGATGTCGTTTGGCTGGATGCTACTGCTGCAGCTGTTGTTAGCAGAGTGGCTGCCATTTTCGTGGAGGAATCGACTTCTTTCTTTTCTTTTTCTTTTAGTGATTGATCCAATTCTTTTTTCCTCTAGAAAGTGGTGGCCTTTCGATCCACTGGCTAGCTCCTTTTTATGTCTATTATTTTCTTTTTTCACGTAGAGGATCATAAAGGTTTTGTTTTTATGTTTAAAGAAGGAATATACCAGGAGTATGCATATGAACCAAATTCCCAACTCGAGTCAATAAACTTTTATTTGTTAATATTAACGCAAAGGTTTCGTGGTGTAGTTGGTTATCACGTCAGTCTAACACACTGAAGGTCTCCGGTTCGAACCCGGGCGAAGCCATCACATTTCTTTTTTTAATTAACGTAATTTTGGTTCGCTAGACGACGTCGTTTCCATTAAACCGTTTCGTGACACACCAACCACGTCACACATTGTTTGATCTCGCGCCACATCACTCTCTCCATTCTTATTGGTTAATACTCTCCACGTCATCGTCTCTTTCCATGAGAACACGCGATTTAAATGACTCCAGAACCATCTACGTCCTTCTTCTTATTCGAACTAACTACATACCAATACAATCAAAAGAATAACACAACATCCAAATTTGGGTCCTTCTAATTTTGCGCCATCAAAAACCTTCAAAACCTCAAATTTCGTTCCTTCTTTGTGATAATTCTCTCGCAGCTTCGTATTTAGTCTCTTAATCGTATTAATTTCGAGGGTTTACTCTCTTTTTGAGCCGTGGGTTTGATTTCTATTTATTTTTTGTCAATTCATGATGGGTCACAGAGTATTGGTTCGTGTTGGAGCTCTGTTTCTGATCTTATTGACGATTGTTCCATCGTCTAGAGCTTTGATTTCGTCTCCCGAGGCTAATCCTCCTTACCCTAAAGCTATCTCGGTAAGAAATTTACCATCTTTTTAGAATTTTGATTGAGTTTATAGATATCGATAGAGAAAGTGTCACTATTGCTGGTAATCAAAAGAGTTTTCTTAGAATAGGGAAATTTGATCTTTTTGCGTAATGTGATATCAACTCTTGAAAATTTCTGGTTTTTGATAGGATTTGAAGGAAGCAATTGTAAAGGGACTCGGATTTCAGTCCGAGGAAGTGAAGATATCTGGTTTTGATGTAAGAGATGCCTTGGTAGGTCATGCTGTTTCATATGAGTTTGATCTTGAAATCGGCAACAAAGTGCTTCCATTTAAGCTTCTTGAAGATGTGAACCGACGGGAGTACGTAGATCTCCCAATTTTTCAAGTAGAACAACCCATTGATTCCAGGGATGAGAATGGTTTAGTTCCTATGAAGAACAAGAAGGGGTCTAGTGATGTTTTACCTGTTTTAGCTCCGTTTCAACTTGCTGGTCCCATGGAACTTTGGATCCAAGATGCAAACAATATGCGACTCTCTTTACCTGTAAGTTCATAAACTTTTCCATTGGTTATGTGTTGAACAAACGAAACCGTTTTGTTATTAATATTGATTTATATGTTAATGTCATACAGTATGATGTGGATGCTGGTGTTTTGAAAAAAGTGATGTTAGCAGATGGTGCTGTTGTAACAGTGAAAGGAGCTAGATCAGTTAGTTTGCGTCATCCGATTGATTTGCCACTTCCATTAAATCAAAGCTCCAATGAATTTGCCTCTGGACTTTTGTCTTTAGCTGAACAGCTTCGACGTGCTTCAAGTGGTCAAGAAACTCCGCTTCTTTCGCTCCGCATTGTTGGTCCTACTTCTCTTGCATCAACTTCACAATCTCCTGATACCAAACTCAAACTTAAGCGTCTTGGGCCAGGACTTGTGGAACTATCTTCCATGTCTAAAGGCAGAAGCAGTCTCTCAACAATTGATGGTGCTATGACTACTGTTCTTACCCCAAGAGAATTTACAACCATGTGGCCAATTACTTCAATCAATGGCTCGAACGCTAACTTACTTGGCTTTGAGAAACTATTGACCTCTGTTTTGGGTCCTAAAGCCCTGGAAAAAGGTTCCTTTAAGGTGTTGAAAGCGAATGTAGCCGCTCAAACGTTTATGAAGATTGGTTTTGGTGTAGAAAAGAAGCTCAAGGAAGCTGATCTCGAAGGTTTAAGCTTTCCAGAGTGGCGAACAAAGCCTGAGACAATGAAAATGCATTTTGAGGTTCTTGCTAAAGTTGATGGAGAGAAAGTCATCCCAGAAAATGTCATGCGAGTTGATCCGATACCAATGGAGGATACGATTGCGCAAAATGTGATTGCAGGAAATGTAACTATGTCGAAACTTCCGATCACTCAGCCTCCTTCAAGCCCTTTCACCTTGTAAATCATGTGGACATATTAGCTCATGTTTTATGAGAAAATTTCCAAGCTTTTGGTCTTGTCTTTCTTTTTACTCAATACTCTCCAAAACGCAGAAGAAGTGTATGTTTAACTTCACTGCCACTTGTAAATAATAAAATTACTAATTGACGACTTTTAACTGATTTTAATCTTTGCCGTGACATCGGTAAGTCCATGGATAAATATGGATGATGACATGAAATAGGGGGACTAAACTGAAAATATGATATTAACATAGACTAATGGGCCTGAAAAATTATTGGAAAGCCCATATTAATTGCATTTAACTAAAGTCCATCATGGATAAATATGGATATGACATGAAATAGGGGGACTAAATTGAAAATATGATTTTAACATAGACTAATGGGCCTAAACAATATTGTATAAGCCCATATTAACTGCGTTTAACTAAAGTCCATGGGCATAACTCTTTTAAACCCGTATTTAAATTTGCTATCACCTCCGGCGAGTCGCCGAGACTCTCACGTCGGAAGAGTGACCGGGACCAACGTGACGAGTGCGATGGGAGAAGGTGCTAGTGAAGCGCGTGGTTGGATTCGCGGTGACGAGACAGCAAAGCAGATGCTATCAAGGGTTCTCAAAGACCGTGCATTCCTGCTTCTGCCGCCACTTCACCGTGTGCCTTTACGCGCCGGGAACGTAGTCGAGGTCACGGGCGCATCTCCGGCTGCGAAAACTCAGATCTTGATTCAAGCTGCGATCAGTTGTATTCTTCCGAAGACGTGGAACGGCATCCACTATGGAGGATTAGGGAAACTTGTTTTGTTTCTCGATTTGGATTGCCGCTTTGATGTACTCCGTTTATCTCAAATGCTCAAGCATCGTCTTCTTCAAGCTAACCGTATGCAATTTCCTGAAACTCTTTCCTTCTTCTTAGTGTCTTGCTTTGCTTTGGATTTTGCAGTCAAGTAGTCTCTACATACATAGTATACATAAACAGTTTCATATTCATGAAATCGAGATCATCTGACTCATATCGTCTTTAATAGTGTAATGTTTGGTGATTGCTAGTTTAAGTTTTGATTTACTGTAGTGTTAAAATATGTTACATAAATCGAAAATCGTTGAATGAAGTTCTTTCCGCGTATCAGGGTTAGGCAATGGAGCATGGTGGCAACTCGAAGAGTCAAATGTTAGAAATTGCAGATCTGCACATGAGAAGTCAAACACTGCGTTTGATGAGGAGTTATATGTTTCGTGCATGAGAAGGTTTCTGTATGTTCGCTGCTATGACAGTCTTGAACTTTTGTCCTGTCTCAAGGTAGTGTTTTGTGTTGGAAATATCCATTCTGTGGTCTGTGTTGGATTCTTGGACCCTGTTAAATAGTTTGTATCATTATGCCACTGTGTTACAGACATTGCATTATCGGATCCGACAACAGGAATCATGTGGTAGTCAAGTCGGAGTGCTTATGATTGACAGGTTTGTCTTACTATCTGCTGGTTTCTATTCTGTTCAATTTACATATCCTATTGTCTTCTAAGATTCCTTTCTGGACCACTCCAGAACTTTTTATTTGCTACTTGCTGAAACTAATCCATCATAAGTTTAGAAAATGATACATGGGTGGCGTTAATATTGAAGTCATATGGCTAGAATAACCTAGTTTAATGTTACTTTCGCAGATGCATTCTAGAGTTTTATGCACGTAGTGATGCTACTATCTAGCAAGCGGACAGGAAGAATTGCGCTAACTATTTTTTCCAATCTTTTCACCAGTATTGGTGCTTTCCACTGGACTGATCGTCTATCGTCATCATTGGCAATGGGATCACATAACAGGTTAGATATCTACATAATGAAAGTCTAAAGGAGACTCTGGTGATAGTCTTATCTTTTTGAAGGTGCTTAGTTTAATCTAAAGTCCTTCCACATGGAAATTAAAAAATTCATATGGTGGAACAATATAAAGAGACGGCTGCTCTGTTTTTATACAAGTTAGGTTTCTTTAGTTAGATCCTGTAGTGGGCTTACTGAAATATAACATGTTGGAGAGTTTGAGGAACTTCAACTTTGATGCTTAACATGTGAGACTTATACCTATGCTATATAGGAAAAGTCTCTCTCTTACGAATGTGGTGGAGACGATAGTGCTAGAGATAAAGAAGCTGCTGCAGGCGCATTCACTTGTAGTAATTGCCACTAAGGCTTTAATTTACGAAGAGAAGTACCCAACAAATGAGAATAATCGGTTAGTTTGTTTGACTGCACTCTTTGTTTACTGTTGTTATAATCGCTTCATCTCTAACTTCTTGCAAATTTCAGGAAGTTTTCCTCAAACGATGAGTTGTCAGGAAACGCTGCAATTAAAGCTCAACAACCTCCATTTCGTGAATTCATGCCATCTTCTTGGCAGGTCACTTTTCTGATGTGAACCCTTAAAAGCCTCTTGTTCAAACGCTTTGCATTGTTTACACACAACCATTTGAAAAAACTACAAAGTTTTATCGATTGTTTCAAAGGAAGATTCTTCCTCACTTAACCTCCTTTGTGGTCATTGCAGGCATTTGTGACACATAAGATAATCATACGAAAATCAGGTTAGGATGTTTTTGTATTAGTTTTCGCTTTCTCTCCATGTCTTCCTTTTGTTTGCTTTACTTTACAACCAAAGAATATTTTCTTGTGCAGCTGATCATCACTCTTCGCAAACAGGACAAGAAAGCTTGTCGGCATATTCACTGGAATGGTTACAACCGCAACTTAGCAGCATAGACCAATTCATAGTAGACGATGTAAGTAAAAACTTATCACAACCATTGCAAGTCTAGTAAAAAACGATTTACTCATAATTTTGTCTTTGCTTCATCATCTCATGCAGTCTGGTATTGTCACTGTCTCGTGACTTAGATTTCTTTTCAGGTATTCATTCTTCAATCTCTCTCGCTCTCTCTTAGATACTCACATAGTTACTAAGATACACATGCTTGTATTTATGTGATGTGTAGTCTGTAGAAAACCATAAACCATCGTGAATTCAAAGTAGCTATTAGCTAAGCGGTATGCAGCAAGTCACCAGATGTAAAGTTATTTATATATATTTCTTTAAATCAGAAAGTGAAAAAATATGGACAGCAAAAGTTGAATCTTTAAAGGTAAAATTTGTCGTTCTTTTTTAATATTTTTACTTGATTAGGTTATTTATACAATATTTGGGTAACCTTATCTTAGATATAAAAAGCAAATAAAAATCATACTTACAGACACACACACACACGTTTTGGGATTGAATTGGATTGTGGATATCTATCTAAAAATTGCTTGAAATATATTTCATGATAAGACATCAACAGTCTACGAAATTGCAACAGCACGTGTTAATGTTATACCTCATTGTTAGAAAATCATATTTTCCTGTTTTAAACTTTTGTTTTTATCATTCTTACAAACTTGAAAGTGATTATATAATGGGACATCACTAACAGGCCTTAGCACTAGGGAGGGAGTCGTGTTACATTTTTTCGACATCAGAAATTATTATATAAGCATTTTGGCTTTGTGGACTCTGTACAGTCATCAGTCTTTGGTGGTTTACTTTTCTTTTTCCAGAAATTTTATATCTCGTTTTCACCGCATTTACCCCTTTTTTTGGAATTTAGCTGATAAGAGTCTCCCTCGTCTTGTCTCATATTATATCTCCATCTTAAGGATAATTAGAATGATAAACTTGGATTTAGGAATCATTATAGTTTTATGTAATAATTAGGTTTTACAAGGAGTGGGAGTAGTCAAATCTCTTGGATACTTTTGATGAGATGAAACAAATTAAACTTGTATATTTAAAATATCAGAATCATATTCATAGGACTTCCACTAAAAGAGCTTATAAGTGTTAGATATGATGTGTGATGTGAAACTAAAAAAAATTATCCTTTTTCTCGCTTTTTACAAAATAATTTAGTGATTATGTGTCAGGTAGATTATGAATTTTTTTTTACTAGTTTTGTTATGTACTTTTTGTTTCCAAAAACATGTATCTTTTTTTTTACACTTATCTTAACTAAGATGCATCACGTTATTGGTTGAGCATTTTCTTCGTAGTACATATATCTCAAAACTTCTATGGAACAAAAGTTTGGGAGATTCGTGCACTAGTTTCAGATGAACTGCAACCTAGTTTAAATAGCATCAATAAAGATATATATGGTAATTTAGAGAGAAATTAAAGATAAGAGCAAGAGCAATTCGAGAAATTAAAAAATAAAAGATGGGCATGTGGGTATATGATTTAGAAAGGCTTTGACGGAGTTTTGAGTTTTTACGACTCATGCCTAACTCCTATTTGTTTGATGGTTACGTCTCAATTTTGTCTTATGATGCACAAAATAATTAGCCGAAACTATATCCAATCTCGTCTCCTCTCTCACCCCATTAGTTTAAAACTAAATTAAAATATAAGACTTGTTCTTTTTTTATAGCAAAGTTTGATTTGATTCATTGGTTTATGTGTGTCTTTTTATTTGTTTGTGTACCTACTTCACACTTCTCCATTATTAACACCACGTAGTCCCTGCTAGCCTAAGAGGCTTAAGACATACTTATTTATCATACTCGTTAAGATATTTGTGTTTTCTTTCGTTTGAGGTGGTAAGTCTTATCTTTGCGATTGCTATTAAACAAAACTAATTATTATTTATTTATTTTATAATAATATAGAGTTCAAAAAACAGATTATATATATATATATATAGGTATATATATTAAACAAAAAAAAACAGATTGTATTAGAATTAAAGATTTTACTAAATATGAAAATATATATACCTTGATATAAACAGAAAAAGAAAAAAGAAAAATATGTTAGAATGATAGTTTAGTAAAATTTTGTAATGATAAGTTTTATTTCCTTAGTTTTCAACACAGTTTGGTATTGACATCATAGGTGAAACTCCTATGTATATCTGAGATGTGATCCGAGACGAGACTGGTACCACTAAAGCCTAAGCAGCTATGACCCCATTTGCTTATTAAATATTTGTCTATTATTACTAAAATATAAGTTTGCGTGTCTTTGTTTTCTTAAGCAAAATCTAATCAGAATTATTGTAATTTATGTTTTTGTTCTCAATCTAGTAAAACTAAGTATTTGCTAACTGAAATAGTAAATTACTTTTGGAAATCAGTGAAACAATCCGTGATCGTCCAAATTGTATGAAATGTAAATGAATTCACTCCGTTGTATGTTGGATGAAACTTTTTGAATCACTAAATAAAACACACCCACCTTCAGTAGCTTTCGATATGTTTTTAGTGGATTAACATAGATGAGATAACAAAGAATGATCTTAGGTCTAATGAAAAATCTGAAAAATAGTAATATATATATTAGGTCGATTAGTACTTAATGAGGAAAAACTTAAAAAAAAAAAAAAAAAAAGAAGACAAAGAGATCTTGAGAACACATTCACGCGTGTGTGTGGGGGTGGGCAATTGGGGCATGTGCGTGCGTAAGCGTAAGCAATAGATCATCCAATCCCCCTCCCCCTCAATGTGTTTTCACCATTTTGTCCTCTATATAACAACAACAATAATATATTATGAACTTTGATCTTCACATTTTGTTTATATACAACTAGAAAAAATATGACACTTTAAAAAATAACCTTTGGAGAAATCTGAAGCAAAGTTGAGGAGCACCCACACACTCCTCCTATTCATTGGGGCTGCCTACTCCTCCTTCTATATATTGCTCTTCTTCTTTTAATAAGTATATATATATATACTGATCTGATGAATTGCTTAGTAAGTTTTCTAAAAATCTCTATATATATAACAGTGAAAACTTTAGGTTAGATTAGTAAGAAAAAAAAAAGTGAAAACAATGATACAATAATGCATGGTGATATATCACAAGTCAATTATTTTAAGCAAAGACTAACTAATAGTAAGAGAGGTCAATTGTATTAAGAGACAAGTATACGTGGGTCCAAAGAAGAAGATAGAAAATAAGTTGAAGTCTCAATCTATGGGGGGGGAAGTGTTTGAGTTTGTGTGGATCTCAATTTTTATAACCAAAAAAAAAAAAGCCATTGATTGCTACTTGAGGGAGACTGCATATATGAGAAAGATTGATCAATCTAAAAGTTTTCTTTATATTTAGACATAAATCATTAACGAACTCACATATTTTATTTTATTTTATATAGGGGGTTATGAGGATGAATATGCAGAGGTTGCCTTGCCTCCAAGGCACCCATTTGTGTTTTAAAAGAGACTCATCGATCGGTTGATGTAGTTATCGATCTGATCAAGAAATGTATATGATGTGAACTCAATTAGTGTGTTAGTTTTAATTTTGCTCAAGTATATATGCATATATAGGATCACTTTGTTTGCTTTATTAACATCTTTATTCGAGCACGACAACTTATATATATACTAGTATAGATTAGTCTTTTAGATAGCTAAAATCTGTAACATTCGATTGTGTTTAGATTATTTAAGTGAACTCAAGGGACATGCTCATGCATGCCAGTTTATCAAATACGAAATTAACCTTCATCAACAATATTTAATTAATGATAATTCGTATTATTTGAAAAAAAAAATCGGAATCTTTATGTCAAATACTTATACATAATTTTTTTAATATAATGATAATATTATTCTTATTTGTGTGAGGTAATCTGGCGGCGATAGTAAACACACTATATATAAACCTTGGTCCACGAGTATATATATACTTTTTTGGGTTGTATGGTCTACAATTTTTTGGTTTAGCGTTTGTATTTTAGAATTTAAGTATCGTATCATCCAAAATGTTCATATACCGTTGTATTTTTCTTCCCAAACGTATTGTATTTTTATATACGTTAATCATACAGTGTAAAAATATCTTTAAAATTCATGTAATAATAATAAAAGAAAATAGGGTACGATAGAGAAAAGAAAGGTACAAAACAAAACTACGAAACTCAAAATGAAGGCAAAGAGAGATCGTGGGAGACCACCAGAGGCTATGGTTGACGACCAAACCCATATACTCTCACTCATGTGCGCCACGTGGATTTACTGCGGTGTGCATGATCTCAGCATGAAGTGTCATCATCACTCTCCTCCTCGACCTCTCTTCAGTCTTCACCACTTTGTTCTTTTCTTTTTTTCTTGGAAAAACAAAACTGAAAATGTTATTTTGGTTTGTAGCAAAAAGAAAATTTTTGGGTTTTTGCTACTGGCGCAATAAAACTGTGGACTTACTACTGAGCATTCGAAATCTGACCGTTCAAAACGAAGAAACCTATCATGGCCTTTCAACTATGAAGTAGATTTAGCATCCTAGTACATATATAAGTGCACCAATTTTTTCTTACTAGTTCAACTTATTTATTTAAAGAGATGATATTTTATACTAATAACTATATAAAAAAAAACTAAAATAACCTCAATAATTAGCAACCGAAATACATATGTGTTGTGACTTGACATACACTCATTAATTGATACATTAAAAAAAAAAAAAAGCAATTAGTGAAGAAGACCCCGTAGGTGATGAAGCCGACTTAAGAATTAAAAAAATTTGTCTGCGCCCCCACGAAAGCCTTTATATGTATGAATTAACTTAGATATAAAAGTACAGAAATAGTATATGAAGAAGAAGAAGTGGATAAGAATCTCATTCTAAGTGGTGGACGAAGAAGAACAACAAAGAAAGATACTCTCTCACTCGACCACTCTTTTGCGTGGAAGTATCCAAATCCAATCCTCAACTCAGCACCTCTATCTCTTTCTCTTTTCTTGTTCAGTCAACTAATTGTAGTAAATATATATATATCTAATTAACAAATTTCACATGTGTGTAACCCTTTTCTTCTAATTAAAATTATTCGAAACCCGTTTCAGCATTCATTTTTGTTTGTTATAAATATTTTACATGTATCATGTTTTGGTAACCATAAAACGTGTCAAGACAAACTTCTAACAAAAGAATACGTTAATAAACAATAACTTAAAACTCGCAATTTAACCTTTTACAAAAAAAAAAAAAAACTTAAAACTCGCATTATAAAAACAAGAGCAAAAACAGTTTAAGTCATTGTGTTGTCACGAACGAAATTCATAGTCTAGTGACTTATAGTAGTATATTACTATTTTGTAACGATGTACGGGTCAACTGTTAATTTTTCATAGCCAAGAAAAATGCTATTAGATTATATATTTGTTTTATAATCTAGAAACTAATATTATCTGATAGAAGCCGTAAGAAATATACAACCATATATATCAATGAGAAATAAATTTTCTTCGTACAAATTCAATAAACCCATGGCCAATTCACCCCAAAAAAAAAAAATGTTACAAAATATGGAAACACAAGATAATAAGTAATTTGTAGAAAAGCAAAAATAGAAAGAATAAAAAAACGGCAGCCGAAATTGTAAGCCGACGACGACTTCTCGGAAAGATATAAAGCTTTCAAATGCCCTTTGACATCGATCACTCATTTCTCCCCTTAATTACACTTGCTTTCATCTTTTTAATTACCATCATTATTAGTTTTCTCTTTTAATTTCCTTTTTCCATTTCTTTTCATTTTATTGTATTTTTGACAAATTAGTTTTTGAAAGGTGGTAATTTAATTAAAATGTGTGTGTGCGCAACTGGATTAAAGAAGCCATATATATATATTAAAAAAAAGTACATGACTTCCAAATTCCACCTTCTTCGTCTGCTCTATCTCCTCCTCCTATATATACCTCAATCTCTTTCACTCACTTCCTCTGGTTCCACATCATCTTCTCTATATATATATAACCTTCTTCTTCACGCAACCACATCTCTCAAGCAGTGACACCATTAATGAATCTACCTCCGGGATTTAGGTTTTTTCCGACTGACGAGGAGCTCGTCGTTCACTTCCTCCACCGGAAATCTTCCCTCTTGCCTTGTCACCCTGACGTCATCCCCGACCTCGATCTCTACCCTTACGATCCTTGGGACCTTCCGGGTATGTCCATATATACACATATCTCTCTCCCTCTCCATATCTGTGCATGCATCATGCAACATGATCACAATCTCTATGATCCCATTTTTTAACTAAGCATGCATGTATATATGTATTTATGCTTAGTATGCATGTAGGTGAGTACCATGTATGTATGTATATGTATAGTTGACTATATACATATGTTGATCCAAATTAAAGGACACAGATTGATTCTTGTCACCAACTTAAGTAACCAATCTGCCTTTATCTCCTTCTTTTTTCTTTCTTTTTTTTAACAGAAAACTTTTGTTGGGTTGCTCTTTTTAAGGATTGTTTTTGTTTCCAAAATCTTGCCATACACACAAATATTAATAGTACCAATCTTTACCTAATAACTTTCTTTTTTATTCTCTTGGAAGGAATCTATTAATTGGTGCACCATTATTAGCATTGCTTTGTTCATAGTCATACATGCGCACCAATTTCAATCATTCGATCTCATGATACACCAACACAATCAATCATATATATATTATACACACTCACCACAACATGTACGTACGTCGACATATATACAAAAAATACGAATATATATATATATATATATATATATAATAATAATAACAAGAGAACTGATGTTTTACCAAACACTAAACTAGTTAGATCACTAGCATGCATATCCTAAAATCGAATATGATTTTGTACGTGGATATATATATATATCGCCAATATTCAATGCTAACATTCGATATTAATCTCAGGGTGTACACTAAAATAATTTACGTATAAACTACAGGGAAAGCTTTGGGAGAAGGGAGACAATGGTACTTCTATAGTAGAAAGACACAAGACAGAGTAACAAGCAATGGGTATTGGGGATCAATGGGGATGGACGAGCCAGTCTACACAAGCTCCACACACAAAAAAGTGGGTATCAAGAAGTATCTAACTTTTTATCTCGGAGATTCTCAGACTAACTGGATCATGCAAGAATACTCCCTCCCCGATTCATCTTCATCTAGTCGATCTTCTAAGAGATCAAGCCGTGCTTCTTCTAGTTCTAGTCACAAACCCGTGAGTACCCTTTTTGTTTCATTATATTAGCCTTTAGGTGTCAATTTTTTAACTTAACATAATTTGCAACATAAAAATTAGAAGTTGACCTCCACGTGGCATGGATCTTTGTGTGCAGGATTATAGCAAGTGGGTGATATGCAGAGTGTATGAACAAAACTGCAGTGAGGAAGAGGATGATGATGGGACAGAGCTCTCATGCTTGGATGAAGTGTTTTTGTCTTTAGATGATCTTGACGAAGTAAGCTTACCGTAATAAAGACAGAAGCACCCAAGAAAGAAAGAAAGGTTTAGTGGGCAATTATTTCTAAAATCTTTGAACCAAAAAAAAAAAAAAAAGAAAGGAAAAGAAGAAGGAGAATGACATCATTCTTACCTGTTGTAAGATTAGCAATCCTCAATTTCCAAGCAAGAAGCTAAAAAAAAAAAAGGAGGAAGAAGCTCTAGTCTTGTTGTATTTTTATTTTTTAAAATTCAAATATATATTTTATTATTTTTACTACTGAACTAATTTATGTTAGCTGTTTTGCATATATCATATGGGAGGGAATGGGCAAATTACACTGTGACAAAATTATCGCAAATATTGCACTGAGAACTTTTTATTTTTATTTTTGTTTGTAATATATACCTTCATAGATGGGTCTATTTTTATCAGCTACCAATCTAGTAATATGGTATAGATTTATTCTAAATTTTAATCATAACCCTAAAATGATTGGTTTGTGTAGGCTTCACAATAAAACTTTTAATTAGAATATAACTCTTCTTTTAGCCTAATGTACCTATAATGTTAGGAGGAAAACCACATCTACTAGTTTGGGATAAAATTGCAGCCTACTTCTCATGCCATTGAACAATAATAATGCGAACAAAAAATATATATTATTGTTGGTAGAAACGGATTAGAGTTTTTGACTAACAAGATCCAAAACACTAGATCATTTATATAATGGGGAAAAATGATTATGTTACCACTGGATGCATGCAAAATGAGACTTAAAAAAATAAGCCCCCCATGTTGGCGAATAATCATGGGGAAAGGCTAATAGTGTGTTTAAAAAGTTATAGAGACCAAACTAACTTTTCGTTTGTTTTTTCTTCTTTTCTTATATATATGCTCCTTTTTTCTTTCTTGAAAGTTTATAGTATGATTCTAGTTTCTAAATCTAACAAACAAATACGAATTATATATATAGATGGAAGAGGACAGGCAGCTTGGTAATATTAATATATCGTAGAATCAGATTGCTCTTGGGCGTTATAGCTAGTATCCTAATACTCGATTCTACGATATATTAATTTTTTTTATCGAGTATAAAATAAGTTATCGTTTTTTTTTAAAATCTTTGTGAAGTCAGAGGTGAGATATAAATCAAAGGTAACTTTAGGGAAGACAGTGAAAAAATTTCTATATTTGATGAGTCAGTCCTAAGTTTATACGTGTGGCCTACACCTGATCCAGTTTAGGGTAGGATTGCTATATATTTAGTTAATTATTTATAAGCCTTTGCGCAATTGAGAGCCTTTTTCTCCAAGTTATAGTCTCTCTCTCTCTCTATAGATAGATCTTTGATTGGGTTTAGTAGTTTGTCTTGTGTCGCCGAGCCAAGCAACATATATCGTCTTTCTACGTCTATTCATTTCTTCTTTTTCCAGTATATATATACCTTTTTTTTATGGGTGTTTGCTTAGCAAGCACTGACTCATGCATGATGCAAGCACCTTGAACATATATAAGAATTATAAATAATATATATAAAAAATCTAAAAATAATTGAAAATTTTCAAGTTGGGATTTAGATTATTGTATAGTTCGGGACTTTGGGATTGGCTGTGGAGATTTTCATATTGTTGGTGTTTTAAATTATAGCTAACTCATAATCAGAAAACTGTATATTTCCAATAAAATTAAACAGTATGTACGTAAACCTATCTAATCAACAAATGATTTGGTCTTGTTTGTCTTACACAGCCAAAATAAAAACCAGGGTTTAGCTGGTTTTTGGAATTGAAGAATGACAAACCAATATGTAACATTCATTTGATTAAAAACAGAGTGCATATATTTTCATGGACTTGTTACGTCCTTTGGAATGTTGTATATCTAATAGCTTTTTTGTTTACAGTCGTATGTAAAGATGAAAAAAGTTTGATGGATGAAGAAATATAGAGGTGAATAGAAGTGTTCTATGAACATGGTGTTACCTTCTGTTTTACTGGTGCTCCTCTTGAAGTTTGAAAGCTGACATTCTCTTTTTATATTTGTAACGCCCGAAAACAGAATCTGGGAAGAGTCTGTTATGTGTTGTCATAAAATCGAGTTGAGCCTGTGTGAATGTTGGGAGTCTATCATCAGAAGGTGACCAGTCTTTCTTTATCTTCATAGTTTGAAGTCCAGCAAAAGGTGAAGGCAAGTCTGGTTCTTGCGTCACTTTTTCTACTCCAACAGAAGCTGAAGACAAGTCTGGCGTCACTGTTTCAAGTTCATCAGACGGTGGAGATAAGTCTGCTTTCTGCGTCACTGTTTCAACTTCATCAAATGGTGGAGACAAGTCTGGTTTATGTGTCACTGTAGTGAGTCCATCAGAAGGTGTCGACGACAAGTCTGGTATTGGCGTCACTGATTCAAGTCCACCAACAGAAGGTGAGGAGCCAGGAGGGTCGCTGGTGGTTGTGTTGGGCTGGCTAGAGGAAGGTGTTGTGGGAAGTGAGTATCTAGGGCGGTTGTTTTTGGTTGGTGATTGGTTGCCAAAGAGAATTGGAGGAAAGTCCTTTCGAGAGTTTAGCATATAGGGGTCTAATCCATGAGATGGGGGCGGAAGAAGTGGTGGTCTCTGGTAAAGATAGATCAGAGGTCGAGGCCTGTGCAAGTACGGGTATGGCTGCAGATGCAGGGGATTCTGCAGAGTAATTGGAGTCTTGAGTTGTTCGTTTCTTACTCAAAAAGTTTGATCATAGAAGAAAAAGTGTGGGGTGAGATAAACTTACAGCGCATGGAAACTGAGGATTATATTGGGGTTGCTGAAGTGGAAAAGGAGTAGCTCGTCTTGGTGTCAGGACGAATGGTTCAGCAGAAGCTTGCAGCTTGGACGGATTAACAGCCTAATAAAGAAAGGAAATGAGAAACTTGTGATACTTCAGAAATGATACAGAATGCGTTGTGAAGTAAGAACCTTTGGTGTACAAGGACTATATTCCAACATCTTTCCCTTGCCAGCTGAAGAAGATTGCTGAGACCGAGTGGTTTCCTGCAAAATCACCAAAAAGCTCTTTAACACATAACTATGAGCCTACTTGCGATAGGGATACACAGTCTTTGCTTCTCTTGAATGGATCAAGGCATTGAAATTTCAGCATTGTTTGCACTTGTAATTCTGATCAACAAAAATAGACATTTCCAACTATATATATCTCTGGTTCGGCTCCCTTTGATCTATAAATAGTCCTGAAGAAGACATCAAAGCGTCTAACAACGCTATGTTATGACCATTGTGGCATATCACATCCAGTGTTTCTAAAGTAACTCAGTGATGTTCTTACCTACATATCTATTTTAATCTTACCAGTATGTAAACAATAGAGAAGAAAAAAGACGAACCTCGTTACGTCCTGATTCACTTATAGGGCTGCTGAACTCTATATTTTTCTTGTGCTGGCTCCGGAGGATTGAAGAAGTTGCTGATCCACCAACAGAGCTGGAAGGAGACTCAGAAACCTTCTTTTTAGTGGCTGATGTGACCATAACACCATCCATCAAGATTCTTTCATCTGAGCATGAAACCGGAAAGCGTCTACGAGGGAGTGGATCTGACTTTGCGTCCCGTAAGCACTGCAGCAGGAGTGACTTTGCATTGCTAATGCTGTAATTCCTTTTAGGAGTCACCGGACTCAGCAGTGATGACATTTTATGCGGAAAACGGCCCTGCCGGATCTTATCCATCGGCCACGTCTGGGGACTCTGCTTTGGCGTCTTGTAAGCAACCTCATCGTAGACAAACGGCTCGTCTTTGTCCATCATGTCGCTACAACGGGAGAGTATGGATCAAAACACTTCAAAATTAGACATTACAAAAAATCAAAATCGCCAGAGAATTTTCAAATTAACTCAAACCAAACAACAAAATACCAGACAAGCCTTGACTTAATCGCTGTACCGCTAAAGCTTTCCGATAAAACTTGTGACAATCTCAAGAACGTAATCGAGAACACAACACAATAAGTTTCAGATTCATCCAAGCTTAAGCCACAACCTCGGAAACATTTTCCCGCCAAATTTCACGATGAAGATTTACGAGATCTACCGAATATTCAACCAAAAATCATCAACAACTTGAGGAAATCGAAAGCGAGAACACGATTGAAGTAGAAACGAAGAAGAAGAATCAAAAATTTCTATCGTAAGATCAAAACCTAAGGTAGTTGCAGAATCGGGAACGGGAAAAACACACAGATTTAATCGCGACGGAGCTGAGATCCAAAGCTCGGAATTGGAACTGGAATAAAGATCATACCTAGAAGAATCGAGATCGAGTAGCTAATTTGTGCTCTTCCGATTCGTATCACGATGCTTGCTCTGAAAAAAAAAATTCTCCACGGCAAAGAGAGAGAAGAGGGAAAAATCAGTTTCAAAGAGACGAGTGTTGTTGGTAACCGCCTCAGTGTTTATATAAAGCTAACGGAAACGATAACGGCGAAAAGGTCTCGTCATCCATTTAATGATACTTGATTTTGACTGTATTTTAAACTCTAAACGGCGTTTCTTTGAGCTTCTACTAAACCGGTTAAGATGAACTAGACCAAAAGACCGGTCAAGAAGATAGACTTTGCCAGACTAATCCAACTATGGCATTTTTTTTATTGCATTTATTTAATAATGAACCATATTTTAAGGCTTTAAACTTGCTCCTTACATATTATTTATGAGAGTAGTGATGAAATGAGCGTTAAACAAAGGTAATTAGAACCAATATTTACAAAAACAAGTAATTGATCAGGAGACCCATTTCTGCTCTAATTCCATCAAACAACACCCAAAAAAAAGGTCTTGTGTTATGTGATTGTACAAACAAGTAGCTAAAGATCTCAAAACAAAATGCAAACTAACTATAAATCTCATATTGTATTGGGAAGACGTGAAATATTAGGAGGTGTGGAGGTGAAGGAGACGGTATGGGCCTTACCAGCTTGCTATGAGCTTTGAGAGTTGCAAGTCAGCAGAGATCATGTGGCCTAAAGCTATATAACCATGGGAACACTGTAACATGAAGCTTGTTTTGGCTCGGCCATGTTGTGTCTCTCCATTGATAAACAGACGAGAGCATGACTGACTCTTTAAAGCTCTCCCTCTTCTGTTTGAAGAGTCATCACCAAAAGCGGCTGATGAGAAAGATACTGTATATGGGTCTTTTGGGATCACGCAGTAACAACCCTTTCTGGGCCTAATTAATATCCGCCAGGCCCAGAACAATAAGACAAAACACTTTCACTACATTGCAACATTCCCAACAATTTAGTCAAATAAACAAAGGACTTGGGTTCCAGCCATCGACTAGATAGATGATCAAGTGAACAAGACTTAGGACTAGACCAAACAAAAACAGAGACCCATGAAATGTACAAAAGACCCTAAGAGAAACAAATTAAAGAAATCCCCAAAAACTATACATATTACATAAAGCTTTACACAGAGAAGAAGCTTTCAGATTCCATCAACGGAGTTTTTGTTTCATGCTACCACCAAGCAGAGACATTAGCCCACCGCCGTGAACTCTCTCCTCAGGAATCATAAAGTCAAAGATGTTCCTCCCGTTGCTACCACTACTGTTGTTGTTTGTTTCCATTTCGGGTCTCTCGGTGTTTGAGAAGCTTAAAGACTTCATTGATGGAGGAACAAGAACCTGCATTGGTATCATCAGCTTCTGTCTTTTCTCGGCTTGATGATGCAGAGGTGGCAGCGGGCGCTCGATGGAGTCCGTGCAATCAGAGACCGCGCTGACTCCAGATTGAGAATGATCAGTAGTGGTTGTAGTAGTAGTAGTTGCAGTTGTTGTTGTTTGGGAGGAAGTTGAGACGAGGCCACGGAAAAGTCCCGGTCCAATCAAACCAATCTTGCTTCCAGCTTTTTCCTGAGACATACTGTTATGCGCAGCGCATAAACCGCTCTTTCCTCTAGCGAATTTCTCGCATTTCCAGTCTCCTCCCCATGAGCAACGTTTCCCACCACCATGTGCCTTGCAGAAGTCAGTGCTACCTTGTGCACTCTTCTCACAACCATCAGACTTGCACCGTTTCCCACCACCGTGCTTCACGCAACAATCAGTCCGTCCACGAGCACTCTTTGTGCACCCGGCCACAACACATCTCTTCCCACCACCGTGAGCTACACAGAAACTAGTCCCACCGTGCACACTCTTAGGACAAATACCACCACCATCAAACATACAGCGTTTCCCTCCACCATGTGCTTTACACAGCGGAGTACTACCTTCAGCTCCCTTTGTACATCCAGAAAATATGCAGCGTTTCCCGCCACCATGAGCTTTGCAGTAGTTTGTACTTCCTTGAGCACCTTTTGTACAGCTGGAAGACTGACAACGCCTTCCACCACCGTGGGAAATACAAAGCCCAGCTTGTCCTTCAGCACTTCGTGTACAGCCTTCAATCCGACATCTTTTACCACCACCATGCTTGATGCAGAGCCCTGATTTGCCACGTGCAGCCTTAGCACATCCCTCAGGGAATCCACATCGTCTTCCACCGCCATGAGATATGCAGAAATCGGTTTTTCCTTCAGCACTCTTTGTGCATCCCAAGTGTTGGCATCTCTTTCCTCCCCCATGAGCCTTGCAGAAAGTAGTTTTGCTCTCAGCACCTTTGTTGCAGCCTGCCTTTTGGCATCTCTGCCCACCTCCATGGCCTATGCAGAGCCCCGAAGCTCCTCTAGCTCCTTTCACGCATCCCATGAACTTGCACTTCTTCGGGTTGCTCATCCTTTGCTGAGAAGACGTGGCAGACACCGTCCTGTCAGAGAAAGCGCCTATAGAGAACTCTGACTCATGGCTCAGCTGAGAATTGTATGCATCAGTTCCAAAATTAGTACTACACTCTTGCATTCTTGAAAGTTTTCTAACACTTTCAGTCCTTGGAGCAAAAAGAAGTGATGGCATATAGCCGCCTGATCGCCTTGCAGATGTAGAGCCCTCATCAACTACAGCTTGGGAGACATTAGTATCCGCATATGTCAACAACGAACAATCAAGACCGCTGAAAGTATCCATGGTCACAGCGGGAGGACCAAGTTGCAAAATTGAGTTACCTCCTGATGAGAGTTCCTGAACACTCCCAGAAGAAGCTGACCCTTTGTTATTATTATCATTAACCTTGACATTGTAGTAGTAGGAAGGTGGTGTTGGACCTAAACCGAGAACCAACCGGCAACCACCATCAGGACAACTAGAAACATCAGAACAAAGCTTATGGTTATGGTGAGAGGTCCCAACTAATCTCCCTGCGGTGCTTCCAAGACATTTCAAGCTGAGAGCAGTATCACCGAAATTGTCAAGCTTTGCAATACCATTGCCACGAGAATAGTGAACAACACTCTCGTTCAGATCCATATGAAGGGTAGATATAAGGATGAAGAATTGACCAAAACAATAAAATACGTAGAACACCTTGTAAAAGCTATAAACATAAAAGCAACTTGAGATATAAACATCTCCCACCACTGACAAATCCCCATGTATCTGCCCTGTCCATCTTCAAGAATGATTAAAAGCAAGACTTCTTCTGCAGCAGTTAAAGAAAATCTAGTCAGTAGAAAGCTTTAAGCAATAACACTAGAATGACATGAGACTACTAATAATCAAAAAAGCATTAGAGTAAATAGTGTAGTAATACAAGTTGCAGTTTTGGAAGTTAAGAGAGATTCAAAGTACAGGACCAATAATTGGTTACAACTGTGTCTGAAAAGGACCAAGTACCAACCAAAATGACATATGGTGGTGGCAACAATGTAGCCTTAGGTAAAAGTGAAACGTGAAGGGTACATCTTTCAATGCTCAAACTTATTCGAGAAAATTCCCAAAAAGAAAAGCACAAGGGAAAGAAAGGATAAGATAAGATTGGTTTACAAATTTAAGTATACACAGTGCACGTCAATAATTTTTTTTTGTTACTCACAGAAAGAAAAAACAAAATGAAAAGCAAAATAAGAATTACATAAGTGTTTTTGAAAACTTCTAACAAAAATCGGAAAGTCAACTTTGTTTTTTTTTTTTCCTGATAAGTGATAAGTGATAACAACAATGCATCAGGGGTTTTCCATTGTAAATAAAGATCCAAAACATAATAAACAAGATCTAAAGGAAATAATTGTTATATTAAACAACACCAATGGAATCAACAAGATTCTGAATCTACACCAACACACAAGTTTCTAACTTTGAGGAAGAGGGTCTTAATTCACAAACAAAACTGTGCAACCATAGAAAAAAAAAAAAAAAACTAACATAACCAATCATTAAGGAAATTATCATACTCTAAAAATAATTAAACAGCTTTAAGGTGAACCAAAATAAAAATAAAAACACAAACCCTAAAAAGAGCATGAGAGTATTAGAGAAACAAGCTAGAGAAATTCAAAAACGTTACATACAATTATATGGGGGAAAAAAACAAAAGCATGCATTCTGATTCATCATTTATATAACTCGATCAATCAGTAACAAAAAAAATACTGAAAAAGGGAAAATAAGAACCTGATGGATCTGAGAGACAGAGAGAGAGAGAGAGGTTCCGTATAGCAAAAGCCTCGTAAACTGAGAATCTGCTTCGTCTTAGAAAAATATCGAGGAAGACGAACGACAACAACGAGAGGAAGACGAAACCAAAGAGAGAGAAGACTGGAACAGGTGTCGAAATATTAGCGGGCTACAAAAAAAGGGAGAGAGAGATAGAGAGAGATAGAGAGATATTAATTTTTATGAGCGAGAGAGAGAGAGAGTTGTAAGCTTTTGTTCGTTCATTCAGGAGGAGGAAGGTCCTTTCTCGTTTATAACCGCGAGTGAGAGAATCCCAATGAATTACCCAAAATACCCTCTGTCACCGTCGATAGTAACGGTTCTGATTGGATGAGACAACGCTCTATTTTGGGAAATCCAATTAAAAATCTGCTTTTCGATGAAAACGACGCCGTCTTCTTCTAAGCTGTAAAGTCCTTTATGCCCCCCTCCGTTTCCGTTTCCTGTTTTTCTTTTCTTTCGAGTGGTAGTGATGTTGCGACAAGTCACTTCTACAAAACCGGTTACCGGCTTAACCGGTCAGAATTGATTCCTTCTCTCTAATTGTTTATGACGTCATCGCCATTATATATGAATGAATACCTGTGTTTATTATATATATATATCTTTTTTTTTGGTGTATTGTGAATTTTGTAATGATGATATCAGCTGAATTAGTCTTGAGCAAACTTTATAATTGATCTATGTATTTTATTTGTCATTTTATGTGTCGCTTTTGTGTTAATAATAAACGAGACAGAAAGAAAAAAAAAACGCTTATTATTTCTCATGCCATTGCCAGGAGCAGGGACTAAAATATAGAACTAGCTGGCATCATTTAACCTAGTATTATTAAAAATAAGATTCCACTATCTAAATGCGAAGCACTTGTAAAAGAAATTAAAAGACTTTATGATTCTGTTTCTTTACTTTATTTTTGTGTACTTACATCTAGTTAATTAGATCTATAAGTGAAAAATGAACATCAGTTGTGATTTTTATATATATATATATATTGTGATTTTAACCAAACAAAAAAAATAGTTAAAAAGCACTGAAAAATAAAATCTGTAAGTACTAAATTGATGTAAGTAAAAAAGTAAATGTGTCAGTGTTATGGTAGAAATAACCTTAGCATTAAAATTAGTTAATATGGGAGGACAAATGTTAGATGTGCGTTGTGAGAATAAGAAATAAGTGTGTAACAATTTGATTCATTTTATTTTTGTTTTAACGTACGGACCATGTTTTTGATAATAAAACTTTTTTTTTTGTCGTGGTGTGATGAGAATGGTCGCAAAGGACCACACAATGGACGAACAGTATTAAAACACAAATAAAATGAAAAATTGTGAGTTTTATGTTGTTCCAAGAGGCAAATCCTATTACGTCAGCCAATGAGGTTCCTTGCAGAGTGGAAGAATCTATCACTATATTTTAATGGTAACGAATTGTATAATAAAGAAAAAAGTACAAAAAAAAGACATAAAATAAAAGGAATCTTTCACTATTATATAGTTTAATCGGCGATTCCGTCAGCTTCGGCCTCAACTCTCCACGCGAAACGGCTGACGTCGACCTTGTTTCTTTACTCTTTTTTTTTTTGTCTTGCTTTTGTATTACTATAAAATATCTGCTTGTATTGTATACTATAAATGTGTATGTGGAAACACGAATGCCTTGTTGCATTATTTTAGACCATCTTTTCTTTTTCTGGTTTTGACCTCATCATTCAGACATTCACATAGCCATCCATATAGGGTTTTAGGTAGTTCGTTTCGTTCGCATGGCATTGGCATGCATACATTTTTGTTTTCAGAAATATATACCTATTTATTTGATTGACCTACTGTTTTGGAAATTGTGATCACCCTCTAGTACTAGGCTCATCAGATGGATTTTTTAATCATAGTTTGTTGGAAAATTACAACCATAGGCCCAAGTCCAGCCCAACTCCTAACAGATAAACAAGAACATGCCAAGTCTTTTGCCTCTTCTCCGCCGGAATTAAATGTAAAGTTGATTGAACGTTATGCTTCATGAACTTATTAATCTTATCTTGGGATGTTGTGACTTGGCAAAGAGTAAAGTTATCTTCACAATTACAAAGTCGCAATGCTTCTGCAGTTTTTTTTTTCTTTTTCAATATGTTTGAATAATTTCTTTAATTTTATGATCTGACAACTAAAACCGATTGTGAAGCTCGTTCAAAACTCAGAACGACCACAAGTATAAATAAATAATAATAGAAAACAATATCTGACTTGCTCCTTCACAATCTCTCTCTCACTCACTCCCTCTACCCAAATTCAGCCTTCAAGATCCCACCAGTCCTTTGTACCGAGCGTACGACATTATGATCACAAACAATACAGCACAAACTGTCCCAGTCAAGCCCACGACCTGCATCAACAACAAAAAAAAAAAACAGATCAACATAGGTTAATCTTGAGAAAGAGATATTCATTTCATTCTCATTGGAATCGAATTCTGGTTCCGTACATATTTGAAAACGTATCCATGATCGTCGTTCCATGTGTATGGAATGTTCATCCCGAAAATTCCAGCTACCAGAGAGTACATTGATAAGCAAACGGTTCCAGAACTTAATACAAGCTCCAACTGCAAGATTTTGAAGATTATCAAGAAGAGAAGCTCAAGGAGGTAATATTTATAATAACTGCTTCAAGCTTTCAAGATTCGCGTACCTGAATAAGCTGATTCCGGTGATTGTCTAGCTGTGAAAACAAAACCGATGGTTTAAGGTGTCAGATTTATGCTAATACCCTAATACTATGACTTGAGAGGATTCAGATTTCAGGAACACGATGTTTAGAGTTTGGAGGTTTACCTGGATGTTAATGTAATCCTCTGTGTCATCAATATACTCACGTAGCTGCATCACAATAAAATTTTGAGAATTGGAAAGATAGTTTTAAAAAAGCAAATAGTCTGCGAGAAAGAACAGATGAAAACAAAAGGAGCAAGAAGATAACTGTGGTTAATCTGTTCAAAGTGCTGTCGATCTGCATGAAGTATGCCTGCAAAGATACCAAAACGTTTGTATTTAGACTTCAAATTTGAATGGAAACTTGCTCTTGAAGATAGATATGACAAAAACTATCAACCAACCTCGAGCAACATTTCAAGTTCTTCAACATCATTTTCATCACCACGAACTGTGGCTAAACTCGCTCTACTTGCTCTTGAAATCTTAGAACCTATTGTTGGGGAAGTCGGATACCAATTTGGTTCACCAACACTACTACCCGGTGAGGAAGCACTTGAAAGTTTTCTTGAAAGGTAAAGATCCGCCATATCATCGTCATCATCCAGCAACTGTTCGAGTTCATCTCTTACCTGCAAAAGGCGACGAAGCTTCTTAATTCTTTATTCCTATTACAAAGTTTACATCTAGTCATAGACATAATAAAAGATACCTGCTCACCTTTTGAACCCGAGCTGTCAACCGAGTCATGGCACTCTTCAATTTTCGAACTCTATCCAAATTGCGGCTACTAATCTACAAGACGAAATTTGAACATGCTGTTGGGAATTGGATCAGTACTGGTGATAATAAAATAATGAATTACCTACCTTTGAGGTAAGCTCATCCAAAGCAGGATAAGCAGCTGTTTCTAGTTCTGTTGTTCTTGCAGCTAAGAAGCTGCAGATTGCTTCCAAAGCTACTTCCAGTGCCCGAAATTCGAATGGGGATTCTATATTACAACAAGAAGACATTTAAATATACGAAAAATGCAAAAGGCCATCAGAAAGGAGGGAAATTTCACAGATATTAGTTTAGAAAAAAAGAGGCAAGAGTCTCAGGGGAAAATACCATCTTCTTCACCAGTATCACCGTCGTTTTGAGCACCTGAGATCTCTTTCCCGTCTCCTTGACCATGGTTGCCAACGGGTAAGCGCCTTTGAAGCTCCTCCACAACTGGAATAACATTCTCATCTGATGGATCCCGAAGCAATACCTGTAATAAGCCCAAGTCATTACTACAAGGAGAGAAAAGGTTTCATCTTCATCTGAGCTAAGACATGAATGTTATGTACGAACAGTTAAACCCTAATTCCCTAAGCATAGCATAGTGCTAACCAATGAGGATTATGAAAATTTTAAAACAGTAGCGTACTAAGAAAAACCTCGATCACTGTTTGCTACAATAAAGAACCAAACTCCAACATAATCAAAACCCTGACTGGGAAAAAGGAATCAGAGAGTAAACTAACCTCTTCGGAAGTGATAATCGCCTTAATATGCTGCATCAGCTCAACACAAACAAACAATAGAAAAAGAACTAATCAGACTGTGAAGCAAAAAAAAAACCAATGAATGCCTGAAGAAGAAAAAATCGCAACCTCCAAATTGAGGACAATGGCTCTCTCTCTGCCGAGAATAGTAGAAGGGTAAGATAAATTGGGGTCGAGAATCCTGAGATCGCGAGCGTGGATCTGGACACGGTGCATGATGGCATACTTATCGAAATCTTGCGATGTGCTCTGTCCCGTTGCATCAATAAGAGCCCAATTCAGCGTTTTCTTCTTCACCGTCACCACCGCCGAAGGATCTGCCGGAACCACATACCCGTTTTGCGCCATCTCTTACAAAAATTAAATCCTTCACCGTCCACTTCCACGCCGTTCTGGAATTTTAAAAAAATCCGCAACCACCATGAACACAAAAAAAAAAAAACCCAAATTTTGAAAAAATTAAAGGAAAAATAAGAAGAATCTGACCTTTAGAGCTCAAGTGTTCATGCGAATTCGACGGAGAAAACAATATCCTAATGAATTCAGAAAAGCAAATTCTCGTCCTGTCTGCTCTTTTTTCATTAAAAAGATTTTCGTAAATCTTTCTTTCTAGATTCTGTGTTTAGTTTAGGTTTGGTTTTGTGTGTGTTGTGTTTTTTTTTCGCTTTCCGAGTTTTTAACAGTTTCAGAAAAAAAGGAAAACGTGAGATATTCCGTTAGAGATATTCCGTAGATAACCCAATTAAACCGGTGTAATAACCGGTTCTTAGAGCCCAAATCACCCAAGTGTAGCCGTATCCAACCGGTATGTCCGATTTTTTTGGTTTATAAATTAGAGATTTATTCGCATAGATCATAATAATTTACTCTAACAAATAACAAAAATGGCCGGATAATTACGAAAAGTGTTCGAGATTTCGAACAATATGTTTAAATAACTAAAAGTTTATTCAAAATCAGGTTTAGTAGTATACACATTTTAGGTAAAATAAACTAGATATTATTTGAAATTATCCAAAATAATATCAAATATATGAATCTAACTTTGTTCAGAAAAAAAAAAAAGATTAATCTAAATTTGTTTACTAGTGAGATACTTCAGTAATTTTCGATTTATCTTGTAACATGAGCTTTTCGCTTGATATATGCACCCATAATTTTCGGACACGAACCGAAAAATCAGACATTAACAAAAACAGAATATAATAAGAGATTCACAATTTCATTTTTTATTCCTTTTTTTTTTAACAACTTGCATAAGCTTAAGCATAATAATATTCTTTTTTTTTTTCTTTCTCTCAAATAAAAAGAAAAAAAATAATAATTAGAATCAGATCCTAATGCTTAAGGAATGTTTCAAATCGCCGACGTGAAGAAGATGCTTTCCCAAACCAATCTTCCTCTTCCCAATCTCATCAACAACACTCAGATCTTTACACACCTTCACCTTAAACCTAACCACCGCTTCTTCCATCTTTCCCAATCGAATCTTCTCAAATCCTAACAAATGCTTCTTCGGCGATCCGTGAACCGCCGGCGGCGTCGTGAACAAAAACACCGTGTGAATCCCTTCTCTATCTCCGCCGTTTCGTACCTTGATCTGAACCTCGAACGCCGATCCGCCGCCGGAGACAGCGTTTTCGCAATGCGGTCCGGTCGCTTCCAGCGATTGACATTCCGATGATCGGCAAACGTGATTGTCTTCTAGCCCGAGAGAAACGAGACGTGGAGCTTTGACTAAGCTGTGGCTAAATTTTGTGTAGCTGAGTCCATCTCCAAAGGCGTAAACTGTTTCTCCGGTGTAGAATCTGTAACTCCGACCCGGATATCCGTTTGATTTGTCGGGTCTCATGTTCATATTTGTCATCGGAACTTTCTCGACATACGACTGTGGGTACCAAGTCATCGGCAGTCTTCCACCTGCAAATCCATAACCGGGTTATCAAAACTGCAATTACAGAACCGGTTTAGGCTGTTATAGAAATAGAGTCTTCTTACTTGGATTGTAACGGCCAAAGATGACATCGGCGATGGCGATACCACCGGCTTCTCCGGGGTAACCAACCCACAAAATTCCGGCGATCTTTGGGTCATTCTTAGCGAATGTAATGTCGAAACCTCCACCAGACATAATGACGAGCAAGACCGGTCCTTTCGCTGCTTTAGCCACTTCGGTCACTAGCTTTGATTGCTGTCCGGGAAGATTCAGGTCGACTCGGTCGCGGCTCTCTGCCTCTATTGATTGATCTGCACCGATCACAAGCACAGTCACATCCGCTGTCGCGGCTAGTTTCGTGGCGCCTGCAACATCGGCCACCGCACAAGCCACATTGGAGCAGCCTGGTAGATATGTTGTAGACACCGTCCCTGCTAATCCTTGAAGTGGTGTTGTGTATTTGCACGGCGTGCCTTCGTAGTTTCCGATCATTGTCTTGGTAACATTAGCGTTCGGTCCAATCACAGCTAGTGTTTTGATCGCTTTAGGAGGAAGTGGTAAGCATCCATTATTCTTGAGTAGAACAATGCCTTGTCTTGCCGCTTCTGCAGCTAGCTCTTGATTAGCTGGTGTGCATACGTCCTTAGGACCCAAGCCGCCATAGATCTGCTTCTTCGGATCTCCATCGAAAAATCCTAAACGCATAAGGGTCAAAAAGTTGTTCGAAATGGCTTTATCAATAGCTGCCACGTTTACCAAACCCGCCTTAACCGCTTCCTCTGTATATTGACCCAAGAACGAGCCACAATTCAAATCTAAACCTGCCAATATAGATACGGCTGCAGCTTCCGCTGGAGTCTTGGTATAGTGTTGGTTCTTATACAACACATCTACTGAATCACAATCTGAAACAATGTACCTATAAAATAAAATAAAATCAAAACCAAACCTCGTGAAAAAGGGTTTAAAACTCCCAATGATCGGATCAGAACATTACCCGTTTAATTTCCATTCACCGCGGATAACACCAGAGAGCAGATCAGGATCAGCGCATGTTGGTTTGCCGTTTACTTGGTTGTATGAACACATAACACTCGCCACATTCCCATCAACCACACAACTCTTGAACGGTGGTTGATACGTATCATCCATATCTTGTTGAGTCACCTACTCCATCAGAACAAACGCATAAAAACACTAGTTAAAACACTCAAGATGTATCTGGTTTAAACAAATGAACCTTATAATCCGCACCAAACATACAAAATCATCATGATACCGACATAAGCAAAGCAAATTATCCGAGTTCCTAATCCTAATCAAACACATTCTTGATTTGACATAAACAGTTTAAAACATTGAGAAATGTTCTGTTTCAAAAAAAAAAAACAATGAGAAATGTTTCAGATTTTATACCACGGCGTTGAAACTGTAACGTTCTACTCCTTTCCAATTATCGACGTCGTAAGCAGTGTAGTGTTTGCAGCATGCGGCGACTTTGAGGCGGTTAGAATCGCCACCGTCAGTTTCTTGAAGACCCTTAACATACCCGGAAGCATACTTGCTAGCGAGCAATGGATCTTCTCCTGGAGTCTCCTGTCCTCTTCCCCATCTAGGATCTCTGAATATGTTCACGTTCGGTGACCAATACGTTAGTCCGGCTAATCCCACGTTGTACATTGCCCTAGCTTCCGTCGATACAACCTTAACAAATACGTGATACCAACAATGTCATCCAAAAATACGGAAACTGAAGCATGAATCATAATCATGGGCATTGAAAATGTGGGAGATTCAGTATGTACGAAAACGACGTCGTATAGCGTCTTGTAAAGTGTTAGCTTGTATTAAACGAAAGAGAAGAAGAAAGAGTGACCCAGTTGCATAATAAGTAAGACATTTCCGTTATCCAAAAAGAGAAATAAAAGCAAAGGACGATAATAAAAAAAAAGAGGAATAAAAGAAAGAAAAAGAAAAAAAAAAGTCGAAAATGGATAAACTTTTGTTACCTTGCCAATGGCTTGAAAGAGAGATACGTTGAAGGATGCTGCCGTAAGTATAACCTGAGGGAAACTCGTAGCTCCGGGAACTTGGCCGGAAAAACGCGTGCCGGGTCCGATGTAAGAAACGCCGTGAAGTGCTTCTGACCACCATTCATACGTCGGGATCCCAAGCCGAGTCACGCCGTTAGCTTTACTCACCAAAAACCCAATCTTTTCTTGCAAGGTGAGCCTAGCGACCAGATCAGCGACTCGGTACTCGATCTTCAAAACGGTGTTGCAGAACCCAAAAGCGGCGAGAGAAGGATTTGCAGCTACGTCGCAGGCGAAAACAGGCGACGACTGAGCGTTTGATGAGTCTGAAAAGCAGAGGAAGAAACAGAGAAAGATAAGAAAAACAGAGGAAACAGAGGATGGTGGTGCTCTGTTTCTCCGAGTTAATGGAGAAGAAGAGCCCATTGCGTTAATGTTTAGATTTCTTGGGGATATTATTTTTGGGTTAGTGATACTGTTTTTATACTAATAAAGAGTGGTAAGCTGCTAGCCTGCTACTACTACTCACACTAAAGAATCTGTGGTTGGTTTGTATAAATTATTGTCGACATTTATTTTATTTATTTTTGGCCTATTATAATTAAGATTATGTGAAAAAGACGATACGATATTCGAGGAAAGAAATAATGATACGGACCATACGGTGTTTGTGGATAGTATTAGGATTTTATCACCTCAGTGTCTTTGTTTATATGATGTAACTCTGATTCTACTTTATATAGTTTTTTTACAAACAAAAGGGATATAGCATGCGAGTTGGTTTTTAACTTTATATGTAAAGTGTACTGTCTACATTGAATATTGTACGTATAAATTTACTTATTCTCCTTTGGTTTCAATGTATATAAACTTGCCATTTTGGGTATACAATAAAAAAAAATTGTACGTATATCAGACTTCTATCATATACATGCTTTTCACAAATCAAAATAACGACTTGTTTGGTTTTTGGTATGTGTATATCTTCACGTTCAAAAGCATGGTAGATTTATATCAAGAAAAGGGATATTTCCTTAAGTGTAGCAATATAAATCTTTATCCAATTGCTGAAGTAGCTGTGTTTGGTTAAGCGTTAGGGTATGGTCAATCCGATATATGTGTGTGGCTTGGATACTTAACACGATTTGAGTTCAAGACTTTGGACTGTGTCGTGTGCATATATATATATATGAAAGGGAGAGGTAGCTAATTAAGTCGTGCATTGGTTGAAAAAATGATTAAAGGCTGTAGCAATTGCGTGTAAACAAGAAAGACTATGTTTAAGACATAACTTTCGAAATACTGAAATTGATGTGGGATACCAATTAACGTGGTCCAGTTGATGATCCCACATTAACACATCTTTTCATAACAGTGAGTCAGTGAACTACCCTATAAAACTGTCACTACTATCCAAAGTTGCAAATTATAGTTTTCGAGTAATATTTAATTAATCCATTTTTACGGTGGATATATTTGTTGTTTTTTTGTTAGGGTTAAAGAAGAGGGCTAAAGAAAAGTCATATATAGATCCCAAATAAGGAGAAAGTGTTTGGTAGTGACCCGTGACGGTGTCGTATTATTAATCAAATGGTTTTAAAAAAATGTCGAGGTCCAAAGAGCAAGTTGCTTCTCTTCTCTCTTTGCTTTCGAGTCCGTGAACCCTTCTTCTTATTTC